GTTGCAGGTCTTGGAGCTGCAACCTGGGGGACAAAGGCAGGCAGAGGAACAGAGGAGCCTCTTCACTCCCTCCTTCCACTCAATCACTCAGCAAAGATGCCTAGACACCCCCCCCCCCCCCGCCCACCTTGTGCCCCTCAGAGCCTCAGCATGGCCCTGCTTGGAAGAGCCTCTTGTGTGAGTGGGGACATGGGGTTGAGCAGTCAGAACTGGGGCAGACCTGTGGTCCAGAGGGGTGAGGAAAATGCCCTGGTGGAGGGGACAGGAGAGGTGACTCTCACAGGACAGAGAGGCTCCTTTTAGCATGAGAGAAAATGTCCAGCAGGGGCTGGGGGCCCAGCTAGGGGTTGGGTCTTGGGCTCAGAACATCTCCCTCCCCTCCCCTCCCAATCCCGCGGTTTCTCCATAAGATGGAAAATTCCACTGAAAACGTCAGGGCAGAGGCGTCAGGAGGGCAGAGCCAGGCGGGGTAGGGTGGGGACCCCACTACCCCATTGGCCACCGTGCTCCCCCACCCTGCCATGGGCTCTGCGGGCGCAGTCTCCAGACCATGTTTGTGGAGCCCAGGCGGATCGGAATTTCCAGTCGCCTCCTGGCTGGCCTGGTGTCTGGCCCTGGGAGGGCTTGGGCATGGTGTCTGCCAGGGTGTGAGCGCGTGTCCGCGTGGGCGTGGGGTACGGGAGAGGGGGGCTGTGAATGCCACGCGTGTGTGCCCCAAGCACATGAGCTGGCTTCAGTGTGTCCGTGTCCACCAGGACATCCACACGCTTGGTGGCGCGCCCAAAGCAATGCCCACTCGGATCTGCCCGTGCCTGGACGTGACCTTCTTGGCGTTCACCCATCCAGATACACACATTCACCAATGCTCCTCCGCGTGGGGCGGAGGGACGGGGGCGCAGAAGGGAAGGAAGGGCCAGTCTCCATGTGTTCCAAGTTCTGGCCCCCGAGGACCCGCCTCTTCCATTCCAGCCCCATCCCATCAGGCTCATTCCCAACCCGCCTCTCCCCACTAGGTACCCTCCTCAGCAGGCCGCCTCCCTCCAAGTCCGGGCCCCGCCTCTAACTCAACACTCTCCTCCAGGCCCCATCCCTCCTACCTGGACAAGGAGGGCGTACACACTTCTGCGCCTCCAGGGGGCGCCCCGGACACGCATCCCCAGACGGGCTTGGGCAGCGGCGGCGACGCAGGCGACGGCCTGGCCCGCAGCTCCCGGAACAGGGACCCCACGGGCCCCACGCGCCCCACGTGGCCTCTGCGGTAAGGGCGGAGAGGAGGGAAGGTGAGACGGCGGCCCACGCCAGGGACTGCGCCTCCTGGAAATCTAGTAACAATGTAGGACTGGAGGACGCCCCCCGCAAAGTGCGTCCGAGGACGGGTACCCCAAGAGAGAGGTTCTGCCCATTGCTCTCATCAGTTGTCCCCCAGGCGCACCTGTCGAACGTGCAGTTGAGGTAACACCCCATTTGCCCCAACCCCAGATAAGCTCCCCGAGGTTAGCCGTGCTGTTCTCCCTGCGTCCCTCATACATTTGGGGTCAAAACACACCCCCAAAGAATGGAGCTGTTACAGATGAGCAACTGAGGGCAGCAGGAGGGAGATGAGCTCCTGAGGGGTCTTTCTTGTTACCTACCTGGGCCCCTATTCCCAGGCCCTCCTTTCCAAAGCCCCGCCCCTATATGATCCAGCCCACTCCTTGGGCCCTGCTAAAGGACCCCAGCTCTTTCTAACCACGCCTACATCCACACGGCCCTGCCCCCCTCCCCCAGTACCACCCATTCAAGCTCCACCCACCTATGACCCATGTCTGCCAATCCCCACTCTCTTCTCTGCATGACTAATATAGATCCCGCCCTCTCCCCAGCCCCGCCCATCCCCACACAGTCCCCGCCCCTCCCTGGGCCCCGCCCTCACCAAGCGGGCAGCGGAAGCGCACGTGGTAGTTGGAGCAGCGGCGGCCGCGGGGCTGCTCGCGGTTGAGGCACCAAAAACCTCGCGTGGGGTTCAAGTGCACACGCTCGCCTACAGTGGACGGCAGGGCCCAGTCCGTGGTGCGCGCCTCCAGCGCCAGCGGCCGCGGGCACACGCGCGCTGGCCCGTAATAGAAGCGGATGGCAGCCAGGCTCTCGAAGTCTCCGTCGCCCCCGGGGTGGTCCACGTTGAACCAGGACGTCCACTGGCTGGCCTCTGTGGGCACCGCACGCTCTGGGACCCGGGCCACAGCCTCTCGGGCCTCATCAGTGCATGCAGGGGCCCAGGAAGCGGCCTGCCCACCCCCATCTCCGAGGTAACTGTTTACCTGCTAAGACGGTCACCCCACCCCCAATGAGCACGGGCTAACCCAGCCCGCCCTTGACCCGCCCAGATCCAGGGTCCTCTAGGGCACAAGGAGCTATAAAGGGATTACGGGAGGTTGGCCTCCCCTAGCACCAGCCCCCGTTCTGCTGCCCAATACTTGAGCTGGCCCATTAGTTCAGGTTGACATTTTGCCACGCTGACATCTTGACACTGTCTCAGCAGCCCCCAACCTTAAAAAATTAAGCCTGTCCCCCCCACCTCAGAATTCAGAACCCCTGAGGTGTGAGGAGACACAAAGGTAGCAGGAGGAGACCCGATGGAGAACAGCCCTAGCTGTGGCTTTCCATTGCCTGGCTGCTCCTGGTTAGAGCCAGCTGGGCCCTTGCTCACTGCCTGGATGAACCCACCAGGCAACCTGTTTCACAGAAGCCACAGGTGGGGACGGTCTGGCCTCCCAGAAGTCAGCTTCTGCTTCCATCAACTCCCGCCCCCACCGCCCCCCACCCCACCTGCGCAGGGGGCGGGGGGGGGGGTGTGCTCACTCCTTTCCTGACTTTCCCGGCTAGGAAACCAGAGACCCAGGTTCCAGAACTACAGGTCTGGAATCTACTAGAAGCACCCTGCACAAGGCTTCCAGTAGCAGGGAGGAAGCACCCACTCCCACCCTACATTGGTTTCCTCCTTGACAAAACAGGCCCTGGACTCTCACCCCTCTGCTCCTAAAACTTAGACTTCTTGGGGCACCTGTGCCAAGGGCTGCCATGTCCAGGGACCAGGAAGTTACTGGCCTTTCACCCCTTGTGTCCCCTCCTTACATGACCACACCAACCAGAGCTCACATAGTGAGTCCACAGCAGAGCCAGGACTTGGACCCAGGATGACTCACCTTCCCAATCCTCCAGGGCTGGTGAGGGCTGTCCGGGGCGCAGAGATGGGCCTTCAAAGCCCCAGGCAGTTGCTGTGGGCTCCTCAGGGCGGGTAGTGACTGTGGAAGGGATGAGGAATGGAGGGAAGGAAACATGCTGATGGGGTCCTCTGTGGGCTGCTTGTATACAAGGTGCTGTCATGATCATCCCCATTTCACGGGGCAGGGTTGGGGGGTAGTGAGTGAGGGTCTCAGAAGCCAGAACCATCTCTCTGGCTGACCCCAAGGAATGCAGGAACGCCCCCCCCCCCCCGCCGCCTCCAGGAAACCTCCCTATGGCCCCTACCCCCAATCTCCTGCAGCCCCATAGTCTGGGGAAGTCTGTGTGTCTGGTGTGACCCAGTTCTCCCCCTCAGTGTGCTCAGCGACCATGAGTTTAGTTGGCTCTGCCTCTGCCCTCAGGTGGAGCTGCGTTCTTCATCCATTTGCGGGGTTGGAGGTCTCTCCCTCAGTGTACCTTCCATCCCTTCACTTGGGGCCCAAGCTGCCATTGGGAGGTCTTTGGAATCTAGCCTGGCTTCTCTGACTTTGAGTTATCTAAGATAGCCAGGCTGAGCGGTGACCTCAGACAAGTCCCTTCCCTGTCTGTGTCTCAGTCTCCTCATCTGAGAAATGGATCCAGTGCCCTGTTCCACTGAGTGCTCCCGAGACGGGAAGTTTTCTGAATGGTGTGTTTGTGGAAGAGGAGGAGTTGTGTGAGAGGGGACCGCTCTGACCCCTGAATCCTGGGCCAAGACACAATGCTTCAGAGTCCAAATGCTGGGGGTGAGACCGGCCCCCCGCTGTCCCCAGGAACCTAAAGGAGCCTAAAGTTCATATGGATACTCCGAGTTCCCCTACCTCTCTTGAGGAGGCAAGAGAACAGAGAAGTTTCCTCCCTTCCCTCCCCCGGGCCCGTTGTTGGTCCCAAGAATCCATACCCCCGACGCCCCTTCACTCCACTCCCGGGCTGACGAAGGGGGACCCAGGTCTGAGGAAGCCAGAGGGTCCCTTGGTTCCCTCTCCCGGAGCGGCTGCGTGCCAGGCCTAGGGGTCTGGGCTGGGGTCATGGGGCGCCTCACCTCGAGCCCCCGCCAGGTGCGCGGCGGCGACAAAGAGGCAGAGTAGTGGCGGCAATGACGCCATGGCCGGGTCCGAGAGTCCGAGGGAGGGTCCGGGCTCCGCGGCGCGCTCGGATCCGACTCCCGCGGGTCTGGCGGCCGCTGGGGCTGAGGGTGGGGGCGGGAGGTGACCGCAGGCCACGCCCCGTGCAGGCCACGCCCCGTGCAAGCATCGCTCCCTGGCCCTGGGTGACTTCGGTGAGCTAGCAACCTCTCCGGTCGCCCCCTTCGGTGCGTCCGGCTGTGCCTCCGCCCTCAGGCTGGCCTGCGTCCTCCCCACCCCACCCCCCACCCCCCGTCGCCAGCTGGAAGTCCCTCCCTCAACCCACTCTCCATTCTCCACCTTGGGTCCCAAGCTGCCTGCGGGACGTGCCTCTTGGAATGGAGCCTGAGGCTGCCCAAACACTCACGCTTCAGGCAGCCGTTTAGGCGGCGAGGAATCCTCCATCGAGTCTAACTTCAATCCTGTTGGCGTTAGGCCACCCCAAGCAGGCTGGAAGTCCCACCCCGAATCTACCTTCTTCTCTTCTGGCTCTAGTTTTCCCGGCCAGCGGGAAGTCCCGCTCTACGACTACCCTCCGTGCCTCCAGCCTTGGGCTCCGGGGGGCGGTGGCAAGTCCCTCCCCGAGTCTGCCCACCCCCGCAGCGGAGCCGGCGCACAGAGGAGGCGGAGGCGAGGTGGTGGGGGGACGTCTGTTTATTGGCGGGGGTCCAAGCCGCGGGGACGCGGGTGGCGGTCAGAGCGCCGCGACGCAGTCGGTGCCCGTGTATCCTGGCAGGCGTAGCGCGAACTTTCGGCGCACGTCGTCGGGCACGAATCTGCCGGCCACGAAGTGGTGGCGGCCGGAGAAGCGGCCGGCGCAGCGCTTGGGCGCAGCGAGCGATACCAGCACGTCCGGTCGGAGCCCGTCCTCGGCGTCGCCGCCGCCGGTCTCGGCGTCCCAGCCTGAGGGAGGGAGGGAGGGAGGGAGGGTGGGGGAATCGGGAGCTGGGAGGGGTGCTTGCCTTCAGGCGAGAGAGTCTTGCCTCCTCTCCACCCGTTTCCCCTTCCCCATCAGACTCAGCCTCTGATCTCTGACGCGTGAGGCTTGGTCAGACCTGCCTCCCCATAGTACTGAGCCTCCGCCCTCAGACCAGTGTCTCCCCTTCCTTGGAGATGTCTCCCTCCTCCTATGACCAGGGCGTCGGCCCTCATCTTTTCTGCCCCTGCTGCCATCATGCAACCAACCTTTCTTCTCCATCTGACTCAGCCTCTGCCTTCAGACTACATCGTTTCCACCTGCTGCCCTTTCCCAGTCAGACCCATGCCTCTGCCTTTGGACCCAGCGTCTGTCCCAATTCCTCCCTCCCGATCGATCTTGACCTTCCCCACTTCGACTAGAGCCTCTTTCCACCCAGGCTTCCTAGCCAGCCTTCCTCCTCTGACCAGATCCCCACTCTCCACTCAGGGCAGACTGGCCTTCATCCTCAGGCAAGCCTCCCCCCCCCCCCCCCCCCCAGCCGGGGCTCCCGACTCCTGGTCCTTGCCTCTGACAGGATGTGGCCCCCTCCCCACCCAACCCCGACGTCCATCCTCCTCCCTCTGACCTGACATCTCTGTCTTCACCCTCACACTAGATCTTGCCTTTTGAATGGACAGGACCCCGCCCCCTCCCTCACTGTGCCCTAGCCTCTGCCAGCTCTCACATGAGCCTCTACCTTCAGACTAGGGGCCTTGGCTTCTCCCCTGCTTCTGACCAGAGTCTGGAGCCACTAACTAAAAGCCTTCTCCGTCTGACTTTAATCCTTCCTTCTGTGACCCTAGTCTCTACCTTCAGACCAGACAGCTCCCCTCTTCATAGCTAACCCCTTGCTCTGTGGCACCCTTGCTGGGGGTGGCCCTGAGGTCTTGAAAGCTGGGGGACATCCCCCTGAGTATGGCCACCCCTGTGGAGGGTCCGGCTGGCCAGCAGCTGTTTGTTCCGTCTGCCCGTCGCCTAATGGCTCCAACAGGCGTGGGGCGGCGGCCAGGACGGGCGAGGCCTTTGCCGAGTGAGCTCACGTCTGCCCAGGCAACTGGGCCAGGGTGGGCAGCGGGCATGCTGGGCCGGGTGTGGAGGGGTTGGGACATGGGATCACCTGGGCAGCAGCCTCTGTCTTCCCCATCTTAGGGATGGACGTGACCCTCACCCAGAGTGCATGAGCCATCCACGCTGGGGAAACTGAGGCTCAGAGAAGGCAGACAGGCTGGGCCCATCAGAAACTGGGGTGCAGAGGGCCCCCCTCCCAAGGCCCCAACATGCCCCCTCCCCGCCTGCCTGGCATGCCTGAAGGAATGTCCAGGCTCACAAGGGGGATGGACAGCAGCTTGAGTGTGGCCAGCGCACGAGTGCAGGGGCCTCCGATCTCTCCCGGCTCCACACCAGGGCCCAGCACGGCATCCACCACCAGCCCATAGGCATCGTTGATGAGCTGGACCTGAGAGGGCGGGCATGGTTAGAAGGTGGCCTTTGGGCACTGCCTCCCCCTTCCCCCCTCAGTTGCCACCAAGCGCTGACCTCTGTGGGCAAATAGGACAGGAAGGGGATGTCCATTTTCTCGCACTGGGTAGTCAGGTCCCGGTGCAGCAGGTCTAGTGAGCGTGTAGGGTAGAAGATGGTCGGTTCATACTCCTGGTGGGGAGGGGCAGAAAGGAGTCGGCCCTGAGGGCCCTTCCAGGCTTCCTACTGGGCCTTACTTAGCCCCCAGATCTGGATATGAGGCCAGAGACCCTGCCTGGGGCAAGCACTGGGCATATTCTGTCCCTCCTGGGACACTATCAAGAGGAGGAAGCAATTTCTGCGGGGACAGGGTTGAGGGGGTGACCCTAGGAGGCCAAGGGGGTCCTTGCTACTCACAAACACCCGCAGGTGCCGGGCACAGACCAGCCCCACCGCCCCGTTCTGCTCCGGGCCACACACGACCAGCACTGTCCTCTGCTTCCGGGAGAGAGTTGGCAAGGGGAACACCTGGCAGGGGGCACAGCAAAGGCAAAGGCATGATGCTTGGAATTCCTCCTTATTCGGGTGGGGAAACTGAGGCTCGGAGTAGCGAAGGAACGGGCATGGGCCTGGAGGCAATAGAACAGGAGGAAAGACATTCTGGGCAAGGGGCGTAGCCCCTTGGGGCCTCAGTTTCCTCCTTGGAGATGCAGAGTCCTTGCTTCAGGCTCTGCCAAGCTGGAGCAGGAAAACGTGCCTTCTGCCACCACCCGGCGCCCGGAGTGTGGTTTGTTTATTCTCGGCCTGAGTTGCAGACATTCTTCCACCTTTTTCCACCGCAGTGGCTGCCCCTCCCCCGCCCATGTTTCCAGGCCTCAGCCCTCCCAGAGGCCCCAAAGTTGGTGGGGGGGGGGGGGGGGGGGGAACAGAGGGAGGGTATTTTTTCCAACCTGAGATGCCCTGTCTCTCTCCATCTGCCTCTGTCTTCATCTATCTTTCTCTCTGTATCTCTCTGTGTCTGTCCCCATCTGTCTCTCTGTGCCTTCATCTCTGTCTCCTAGACTCTGTGTCTCTATCTCTGTCTCCTAGATTCTGTGTCTCTGTGGGCCTGTGCATCAGTTTCTTTAACACAGGAGTTAAGAGCACTGGTGTTCAAGTCACAGCCCTGCCCTGACTCTCTGCATGGCCTCTGCCCCCTCTCCTCTCCCAGCCTCACTTGGCCTCTATCGATTGGGAGTGACAGTGGCACTGACATGGGGCCTCTCGGGGACAGGGCACCCCAGGGGGCCTGGCTGTACCCTGACCTCCAACCACACAGAGAGCCAGGTATACCTTTTTTGTCTCCTCCCCAGGGTCTCGGTGAGGTCCTGAGCCACCTGCGACCACACTAAGCCAGGTGCGGAGCCCTGAGACCGGAGACTGAGGGAGGCAACAGTGACTCCAGCTTGACTGGGACCGAGGGCCCTCTGGACAGACTTGGGGCTTTCGGGGCAAAAACTGGACGGCGACTGGTCAGCAAGGGCCAGGCAGGAGTTTACTACACTGGGTTTACTTTTACTTTTGGGGTTTCACCATTTCCTTCTCCTTTGGGACCTTCACTCGGGATGTTTCATTTGAAATAGAAATGTTAAAAAAAAACCAACTGAGCCTACATGACGAAAGCGATTGTGTTCAACAAAAGTCTGCAGTGGTGACAAGAAGAGGAAGACAGGGAGGCAGAGAAGGGTTACATGTGGGAGCCCTGACACCATCGGGCACTTCTCTAAGGCATTCGTGTTTATTAGCTGGTGTCAGTTTATTGCTCTTTCTTTGGAGGGGGAAACAGGCCCGCGGTTTGGCAACATGACCAAAAGCACGGAATAGCGGCATCTTCGTTGCTTATCACTCTCACATCCCTTGCGGGCACCTCGAGGCTGGGACTCTGCTAACTCCTCCCTAGGACCTACACTATGCAGGCCACCCCTGCCTCTGGGCTTCAGTTTCCTCATCTGCAGCATTGGGGGGGTGGGGGGGGGGGGGACCCCAGCTTCCAGGAACCGAGGTCTCCTTTACGGAGATCCAATTGATGGCAGAGGCAGGTGGTCACATCTGTACCTCAAGGACCTCAGGACCATCCTGCAGCAGCTTTAGTCTCTGCTCCCCGGCCTCCAAGTCTCTGGGGACTTCTCTGTCTGCCCTGACCATCACTGACACCTGGGGTCTTGGGTCCCTGCCTGGTCTAGACCAGTGATGATCCTCTCTGGGCCTCAGTTACCCCACCTGAGTGATGGGCTGGAGTGGCTCCACACAAAAAGGGGTTTCTTGAGTCCTGGATCAGCCTGACCACAGGGCTCATGCAGCTAGGCCTCCTCTGCTCTGGTAGGCTGGCCATCTGGTTGGGGTCAAGGTCAAAGATCAGGGGTCAGATACCTTGGTCACAGCCACAGCACTAGCATGGCCACACAACTCCACCAGCTGCTGCCGCCCAAAGCGATAATCTTCCAGCAGCTCCCGCTCCAGGGCTGCCGCCTCTGCAGTGCTGGGGGACAGAGTGGGGAGAGACGCTCAAAGACACACAGAAAGACAGAGAGAGAGGCTCAGATGGAACCGGTAATGTTCCACTAATATCTCCAGCTAGGCCCTAATGCCCTCCCCCCCCCCCGCCCTCAGTTTCCCCACCAGACGTGCTGGCGGTTGACTGGCACAGCGGAAGGTTTAAGCTGAAGCCCAAGGCACGGGCGCCCTCTGGTGGTCGAGGGAGGCGTGGCGGCGCGTGTTGGTTCTATTGCCCCAAAGCGTGGGAGACTGGAGCCGGGCCCAGATGCGCCCGCCCCCACCGCGGAAAGAACCCAGAAGGAGGAATGGAGCGTGAGAGACTTTGATGGGGGCGAGGGGCCAGTTGCATGCAGTGGAAACCTCTGAGCAAGCTCCAGAACACTGGAGGGGGCAGACTGGCCTGGGGAGGGGGGGTGGTGCCTGAGGGAGGCGGATTTTGAAGGCTGCAGAGGGGTTCACTTAGGGAGGTGGATGGGGAGCCCGCGGCTATGGGGCCTTATTGGTGACCCTGCAATAATTGTGGCCAGAGAATTGGGGCTTACCCATCTGGGGTGAAGGTCTGCCATCAACTCACCGAGTGACTGGGCTCTGTCACATCTGAGTTTTGCTTCCTCTTTTGCAAAAGTAAAGGCAGGGAGGATAGACTAGATAATTTTCAAGGTCCATTTCAAAATGCAAACATGGGGCCCGCTATTTAAGATTTAAGAATTTTCAGATAATGACAACAGCATGAAACTAAGCGTTGGGCCCTATTAAGAGCAGGGACCAAGCTGGCCCTGGCTTAGGGACCTTCCAAGGAGCACCTACCCCCACCTCAGCAGACCCTAGAGAGCCTAGTAGTGGTAGTAGGACCAGGCCCAGAAGAATCAGAACATTCAAGCACTCTGAGAAGCCAAGTAACTTGCCCAGGGTCACCCAGGAAACAAGGGGGAAAAACCGAGATTTCTGCCCTTGGTGTCTGTCTCCAGAGCCATGGATAGGGTGTGAGCAAAGAGGCAGGGGCAGACCTACAGACAGCAGAGGTTTCTTAGGATGAATCTTAAGGGTCCTTCCTTCAGTTCTGTGAGGAGACCACAATCTTTTGGCCAATTTTTGCAGTGTGGTCAGGCTGGGCAGGAGGGGCATAAGTAAGGACTGCTGTGGGATGGGGAATCAGGGAGGACTTCTGGAGGAGCTGGCCTGGAGCACTATGGGAGGTAATCCACGTGGTAAGAACAGCGAGGGTGGGAATGAGCTTGGCAGATTCTAGGGACGGAAGTGAGGCCAGTGTGGCTAGAGCAGAGCAAGCAAAACAGAAACTGGGTCAGAAAGGCACTTCGGGGGTCCACGTAGATGGGGGAGATGGATGGAGGCTTAGGGCAGGGAGTCTACATGCCCTGAATCATCCCAACAACCAGAGCCAGATTCAACCCCGCCTGACTTCAAATAAGGTTGAAAGACCAGTTGAGGAAAAGGAGCTCACGGTGGGACAAATGAGGAGCACCCCTCTGGGCAGGCCACCTAGGTCCCAGGAAGGAACATGGGAGAAGGTGTTTGGGAATGTGGTTCATTCCTCCACCTTCAACTTGTGACGGGTCTGGCTGTTGCCCCCACAGGAGGGCAGAGAGGAGTGTGGGAGGACCACCCATTCCTCCTTTTCTTCCTCTGCCCCAAAGTTTTGGCCTCAGGCCACCACTTGGAACATTATCTCCCTGCCTAACTGGTCATTAGAGTGATAATGGGGACTCCATGGGCAGAGGATGGTTCAGGCTAGGAGCCTGGGAGTGGCGACGGTGGCAGCTCTGGGTCGGGTCTGAGTGGGAATTAGGGCTGGTGGGGGAGGGAAACAGGGCAGAGCCATGTGGGACTGGGCAGGGCAGGGGGCTCAGCTATGAGGGTGCCTCTTGCTGCTCCCAACATCAGCTCCCAGATGAGAGGAGCTGTGAGGACCAGGATTCCCCCAGAGACAGGAAGGCTGAAGTGGCCTGCTTTCAAAGGAACTGGGCCTGACATTCCCAAAATCCTTCCAGGAGCAGGCCCTTACGAAGGTGAAGCCAAGGCCAGGGCACCCGTGCCAGACCCTCCCTGCTCTCTTGGGTCCCTCTGCTTCTCCACCTTCAGGCCTCTGCCCACCAGCCCACCATCTTTGCCCATCTGGCTGCCTACAGCAGTTTCATGGCCCCCAAACTCAACACAAGAGCCACGGGGCTCTGAAACTTGAATGCCAGATGACATCACCACTTGTCTCAAGCCTACTTATGGCTCCCCAATATTCAGAGAATATTCAAATTCCTCACCACACCTACATGCCCATTATGTCTCTTACCTCATTGTTTCCTCTCCACTTGCCATGTTCCACTCCTACCCGCCCCACGGCGCCCCATCACCCCTCAGCTGGCATCTGAGACCCCACACAACCCCCCCCCCCCCCCATGCCAGATGAAATCGCAGATCCAGCTTCCTTCTGCCTAGGATGTGCTGGGTCTACAGGCTCAATCTGGACATCAATCAATCACTGGACAGTATCTGCCCTGAGGGCCTGAATGGACAGTGGGCAGAGGACAGATTTGTCAGTCAAATCTGGTTTCCATTGAGGTCCACAGCCCTGCTTGGAGTCCCAGGGCACAAGGACTTAAAGGAGGACGTAAGATGAGGACTCAGGACGAGGTGGGAGACACAGCCACAGCTGCCTATTTCAGACCCCAAATCCAAACTACCGGCAAGTGGTCCATGTGTTCAAAAACCCCCCTAGCCCTGGCTCAGGCAGTGGCTTCCTTCCCCAGCCCTCAGTTTCCTTCTCTGGACAAGAAAGTCGCAGGTGGACCACCAAGAGGGGTGTGAGTGAGGAGCTAACAGCTCAGCTCTTCCCAGGGAAGATGGGGAGATGAGGGTGGGAGCGCCAGGGTCCCTGGGTGAGATGGAAAGGGGAGGTGGGCCTTGATTGGGTTGAAGGGTGATGGGAGAGCTACTAGTGGTGTTCTGAATAATTCAGAAGGGCGGGCTGAGGAGGATGCAGTTTCCCTGGCAACTCGGCTAGGAGACGTTGGCAGCAGCAGGCTTCAGGCTTCGTCTTTCCAGCGAAATGCGGGGTGGGCCTTGGATCCCCCCAGGCCCCATCCCGGCCATGCCCTTCCTCTGATCTATCCTGCCCATGATGCCCCCCTCCCAGCCATGCCCTTGCCTGGGGGCCGCATCCTTGCCACGGTCTTTGACGTCCCCATCCCTGGCTGACCTGAGGAAACGCCGCTCCTCGGGCGCCTCCACTGGGTCCGGGCGGGCTGCGCTGCTCATGGCCAAGGTAAGCCGGGACGCGCAGCCTGGCTGCCACCGCCACAGCCTTTTAAGAGCATCCCAGGGCAGATGGGGGCGTCCTCGGTCCTCCTCCCTTCCCGCCCACCCTGTGTATCCGCCAATCAGGTGATACCGCGAAGGCGCTGCGCGCAGGGATTGGCTGGCGGGTGCAGGCAGATTTAACCCTTTGGTGCCAGGAGCGGAGCTGCCTCGGGGATGGAGAATAGTAGAGACGTGGGTATTAGCAGGGCAAGGCACAGACGGGTAGCGACGGACCTGCTACCCCTGTAATGGGGTCTTGGCCTGGGGGCAAGGGGACCTACCTCTGACACCCCTCCACCCCATGCTCCACTCTTCAGATCGATCCCCCATTTACTGATGAGCCCAGGGTGCAGGATGGGGAGCCCCGGCCTGGAGGGGTGGGCTGCTGACAACGAGGACTTCAATAGAGGTAGGAAAATCCAGGCATATTCTTGAGCCAAGGCTGATGGATCCAGGGGCAGTCTCTGGGTGGGTTTTGAAACCACCCTACCTGGCATCTTCTGCAGAGACCCCAGGTCTAGACCCTATATCCCCAGTCCGTGTGCAACCCAATGGTGTCCCACGAGCCTTCCCGCAGTCGCTGGGACACAGGCAAACAGGTCTCCAGAGCATTTATTCTTTCCAGGGGGGAGGGTGCAGGGGTCCAGTAGTCAGAGGGGTGCAGGCCCCTATGTGTACCACGTGAAGCCGTAGGCGGCGTTGAGAATCTCCTCGTTCGTGCGCAGCCCGTAGAGCTCGCCCATTATGGGGTTCACCCAGCGCGTTGTGTGGAACACAGACTCACCCACCTGTGGGAACAGTGGGGTATGGGTGGGGGTGCAGCTACCCCTTCAGGCCCACACTGCCTACTGCTGCCTTCCCCTCCTCACGCCTGGCACCCACTACCCCTCTCGGCTCCAGGTTTTCCCTGGGAGGCTGTGTTCCTGCAGGGGGCCTGGACCCCCACCCTCCCTACCCAGGGCCCACCTTCCAGTCAGGCACGTCCTTCATGATGATGGCCTCCTCCTCCAGGTTCTCCCGAAGCATTTGCAGAACCCTGTGGGGATGGAATGGGTGGTAGGGGACAGGCCTGAGCACCGAGAGACTCCCGAAAAGACGTGCCAGATCCTTCCCTGTTCCACCCCAATCACCTCCTGCCACTCCCAACCCTGCATGTGCCAACCCTTCTTGTCCTTTCCTTCCCCTACAAACATTTACTGTCCTCCTGCTGCAGCCTCAATGTCCCCTCCTCCAGGGAGCCTTCCTATTCTAGCCCTTGGGTCTCCCCCACATATGCCAGGACACAGCTGTCAGCCCCCAAATGCATTTTTGTCATGTCCTGCACTGCAGGCTGGGACACTCAGGCCTGTGACCTTCCAACCCTGGTCCCAGCAGCCCCACCTCCGATCCTTCTCTGCCTGCAACAGTGGCATCAATGCAATGCGGGCCTCGAAGTCCTCAATCTGCAGGCGCCTGTGAAACCCAAAAACCAACAGTCAGATCAGATGAGGCTGGAGTTCGGGGTAGATGATGTGGCCTCAGACTCAGGCTGATGCGTGGGGAGGGGAGCCGGCAGAGAGGCAAGTGAGTGGGGCAGGCTTGGGGAGTAAGCTCTACCCACAAGAAGATGAGAAGGCGGGGTGTGGGCATGTGGGCTGGCACAGGCACTGGTTTACAAGACTGATGGCTTCGCACTTTCTTTTCAGTTAAAAACTTTAGTTTTTAATCCTAAAAATAGCCCTGGCCTGATGATTGTGGTGAACTGGGGACAGGGGATGGGACCTTCATCACAGGGCTCTGGGCCCTACAAAACCATATCCCCTTCCTGTCAAAATAACCCTGGGGTGTGAGCCCGGGGCAGGCAGTTCTGTGTGTTCCAAGCCACCAGCCCCATCTATACTGAGGGCGCGGCACCCAGTGATGTGGCCCCTGGCCCTGTCCCCTCATCGCCAGAAATCTCACAGCCTCGCAGGGAAGGGTCTGGATGAAGTTCAGCCCCCACTCCAGCCCTCACACCTCCTCCCATCTTCCCAAACTCAGAGGAGCATCCCCACCCCAGGCTGCTGGCCCCACCACAGCCCCACACTATTGTCACTGTGTCCATACTCCTGTGGGTGGTGCATATGGGGCAGCTGGACCCGGTTTGAGCTCACTCAACAATGTTGAGCACCTGACACAGGCTGGCCTTCTCCACCACCACCCTTGGGGATTCCCAGACTTGTGGGGGGCAAGTGAGCTCAAAGGGGGTGCTAAGGACACATATCACAGGGTGTGGCAGGGCAAAGGGGCCCAGCCAGTAAGGGGCCAATCAGAAGGGGTCACCTGGCAGGGCATCCTGACAGCTTAGAGGCAGCGAGAGTCTGAATGGAGGCCACTATCTGCCTCGGTCCCTCAGGCCCCATGTGGCTGGCAGGGTCATTGTGTTGCATGGCCTGTTTCTAAGCCCTTACTGTCCTCTTTGCCTGGTTAACACTGACAAAAAAACCACTAAACGAGCATGTCCTGAGCCTGCCCTCCACCTCCACCTGATGGGCTGTCCTAATCCCAACCCTCGAGTCCCTAGCAGCGGAGGCCAAGAGATACCTGGTGAAGAGCTCCTTTCTTGCCATTTCTTTCTGGAAGGCCCATACTTCCTGAGCCTTGAGGGACTGATGAAGGGCCCCAAGGGACACCAAGACCACAGGTGCACTCCATGGTCCCCAGCCTGGGGCCTACCTGCGCTCTCGGTTCCACTTCATCATGCTCCAGTACCCAAACAGCAAGGTCCCGATGCCCACAGCAAACATGCTGTAGCCTGTGGGGAAAGGGGGCACCAGCTCAGTGCCTACCCTCGGGAAAGGCCACCCCTTGTAGTTCCTTCTCATGAAGCACAATCTGCTTGCTGTGCACGGACATCGGAAATATGGACGCGAGAGAAGGTGAAAGTCTTAGTGACCCCCTCCTAGAGATGGCCAGTACCGTCTCTAGTGCGTATTTCTTCAGATTCTTTTTTTGTCTCTGTGGAATGTCCACCAGCCCTCTCCCCTGGACCCGTCCTTCCCAACTGCAGACGACTCTCGATTCCGTGCACCTGCCTTGCAGGCAGGGACACCAGGCTGCCTCGGCTTTCCTCTGACAAGTGCGGCAGCTGCGGCTGACACACCTCCGCCCCCCCATCCCCCCATCCCCGTTTCTGGAAGGTACATCCCCGTTTCTGAGCAGGGCTTGCAGGAGGGCCCGAAGGCCTTGCTGTGTATGATCGGGTGGCCCCAGCCCCACAATCTTGTTTGGTTCCCAGTCAGCAGGTGCTTCCACGGGGAAGGGTGGTATCTACAGCTGGGCCCAGCTCCATGGTGGCTCCGGCTGCCTGGGCCACTTCTCTGCTGCCCACAAGGAGCTGGGAGGGGCTGCCAGAGGCAAGCAGTGCCCTGCAGGGGCGGCCCAGCCCCCCATCCCCACCCCGGGCTCCCGGGGGTGCTGCTGCTTCCTGGCCCAGCAGGGTCAAGCCCCCTGCCTGGACACCAGGGGACAGAGGCTGCCATGAATATTTACTGGCACCAGCAGGCACCTGCGCTATAATTCTGACTGACAGGCTGTGGGCCTGCTGGGGTCTTCAGGGAGGCCCAAGCTGCCTGGGGCCTGGCTGGGACTGGCTCACCCCATACCCTCTCATCTTCTGAGTTGTGATCTCTTCCCTGGACGGGCCTCGTGGCTGCTGGGAAGAACTGACAAGCTCAGGCAGGTCAAGTTCCAGTTAACAGCCACTAAATGACCAGCAAAGAGTGGGTAAGGCCACTCCCTAGAACCCGTGGGGGTGCACAGTGGGGACTCTGGGAGTCACAGCCCTGCTCCGTGTCTGCAAGGGGCCTCTGTTGTCCTGGTCTTCGTCCTTCTTCTTCAGCTCAGCTCCAGCACAGGGCTTTTCTGGCACCTCTGCTGGACCCAGAGGTTCATGAGGAACTGGTTAGATTTTTTAGCCCCTCAGTCAAACCTGTTAAAAATATGAGCTAAGATACTTCCATGTTACTGAAGGTGGGACAAGGGCACCCTGGTTCCTGTGCACAGAGGCAGAACCTTTCTCGAGGCCCGAGTGCCTGGGACCAGCTTCCAGTGCACCTGTGGCTCTTACACATGGCTGACCACCTGTGCTGGGCAGGAGCGTTTTAGAAGAGCTGCCTCTTTCTTTTCAGTAGCTGCAGAGGAGCCCAGGGGCCTCTTCTTTCGACCCAGGGGATAAGCCTGGGCTGTCCTCACGGAAACCTCTTGCCTTCACACCAAGCACCCGTGTGGGCCCCTGAGTAAAATAAATTCCAATAAGGGGGCCTTTACAATGGTGCAGCCCTTTCTTGCTGACAGTGGCGAGGCCGAGACCCCAATCCCTCAGTATGGGTCTGTGCCTCAGGAGCTGCCCGTCTGGTGGTGGAGGCTGAGGAAGGGCATGCCCAGAAGGGGGTGCAGGCCATGAGTAAAGAAGACCTGAATAAATAAACATCCTGTGTTCACGTACTGGAACTTAACACTGTTCAGACGGCAGCCCTCCCCAAACTAAGGTACCGATTCAGCGCGGTACCCAACCTTCGGAATCCCAACCTTCCCCCTTTACCAGCCCCACAGGAACTGAAGAGCGGATTGTGAAATTCGTGGGATCAGATTAACCAAACAATTCTGAAACAGAACAAAGGGGGAGGACTTGCACTTTACAGTTTCAAAACTTAACACCCAGCTGTGTGTACAAGATAAAATAGCGTGGCACGGCACCAGGGTAGACATGTACATCGATGGAACAGAGCTGACTGGGAGTCCAGAAATAAACCCTCACATTCACGGTCAATTGATTTTGGACAAGGGTGCCAAGACAATTCAACGGGGAAAGAATAGTCTTTCAGCAAATTGGATAAGTGGACAACCACACACAAAAGAATAAAGTGTACTTTTTCCTTCCCCCATGCACAAAAATTAACTCAAAATGGAGCAAAGACCTTAATTTGAGAGCTAAAACTATAAAACTCTTAGAAAACAGATGAGTCAGTCTCTGAGACCTTGCATGAGATAATGCCTTCTTAGCTTTGGCACCAGAAGCACAAGTGGCAAAAAGAAAAAAAAAATAGATGAACTAGACTTCATGGAGATGAAAAACTTCTGTGCCACAAACGATACTGTCAACAAGCTGAATGGAAGAAAGTCCTTGAAAATCTTGTATCTGATAAGGGAATGATATCCAAAATGTATAAAGAACTCTGCAAACTCAGTAATAAGATGAACCCAATCAAAAAAATGTACAGGGGCACCTGGGTAACTCAGTCAGTTGATCATCTGACTCTTGATTTTAGCTTAGGTCATGATCTCATGGCTCATAGGTTCAAGCCCCTCATCGGGCTCTGCACTAACAGTGAGGAGCCTGTTTGAGATTCTCTCTCTCTCCTTCTGCCCCCTCTCCAGCTCTCTCTCTCTCTCTCCAAGAAAAAAAAAAAAAAAAGTACAAAGGACTTGAAGACATTTCTCCTGGAAGTTATACAAATGGCCAATAAACACATGAAAAGATGCCCTACATAATTAGTCACCAGGGAAATGCAAATCAAAACCAAAGTGAGATGCCACCTCACACCCACCAGAATGGCTAGAATTTTAAAAAGAAAAAAGAAAAAAAAAAAGGAAAATAATCAGTGTTATCCAAATATGGAGAAACTGGAACTCAATACACTGCAGGTAGAAACGTAAAACAGAACAGCTAATTTTGGAAAACAGTGTGGCAGTTCTTCAAAATGTTAAATGTGGAGTTACCATCTGACCCAGCTAGGCCACTCCTAGATGAAATTTCACTTAAGAAAAATGAAACAGGGGCGCCTGGGTGGCGCAGTCGGTTAAGCGTCCGACTTCAGCCAGGTCACGATCTCGCGGTCCGTGAGTTCGAGCCCCGCGTCGGGCTCTGGGCTGATGGCTCAGGGCCTGGAGCCTGTTTCCGATTCTGTGTCTCCCTCTCTCTCTCTGCCCCTCCCCTGTTCATGCTCTGTCTCTCTCTGTCCCAAAAATAAACGTTGAAAAAAAAAAAATTAAAAAAAAAAAAAAAATGAAACATATCCACACAGAAGCTTGCACAGGAATGCTCACAGCAGCCCAAATGTGGCAACAACTCAAATGTCCATCAAGTGGTAAATGGATACACAAACTGTGGTCCACTCACACAAGAATATTGTTTAACCATAAAAAAAAAAAAAAAAAAAAGAAAGAAACTGCCACACGCTACAATATTCACATTAAAAACATTATGCGCGCCTGGGAGGCTCAGTCGGTTAAGCATCTGACTCTTGACTTCAGCTCAGGTCACGTTCTCTCAGTTAGTGGGATTGAGCCTCAAGTCAGGCTCTGTGCTGAGGGCCCTCAGCACAGAGCCTACTTGGGACTCTCTCTCTCTCCCCATCTCTCACTGCCCGCCCCCACCCCCCCCACCCCACTCACATATTCTCTCTTTCAAAATAAAAACATTAAAAAATAAAAACATCCTGCTGAGTGAAAGCAACCAGACACCAAAGGCCACATAGAGTAGGACCCATTTATACGAAATATCTAGAACAGGCAAATCCATACCAGACAGAAAGCAGACTGGTGGTTGCCAGCAGCTGGGGGAGGGAGGATGGGGAGTGACTGTTCATGGGGTTTCCTTTTGGAGTAATGCAAGTGTTATAACCTTAGATCCGGGGGATGGTTACGCAACTCTGGATAGACTAAAATCAACAATTTGTACACATGAAATAGGTGAATGGTCTGGTCTGGTTTGTGAATTTCAATAAAAATGTTAAAGACACAAAGGAAAAAAAAAAGGCCCACCTATTGGGCACAGGAAGGAGCGGAGAGAAGAGAGCTGAGTGGAAAAGATGGAGGTAGCAGTCACTTTGGGAACAGCATAAATTAAAGAAGGCCTGAGCCAGCTTGGCATGTTCTAGGACACTAGTGGAGAGTGGTGTAGGCAGAGAGAAGGGGAGTGGGTGCCAGGCTTGGGTGCCTTACGGGAGCAAGGGAGGGTAGGGCTAATGAGAACAAGGCTCAAAAGCAAGGCTGAAGGAGGGGCACAGGAAAGATGATTGGGGTGGGGCGCAGGATGGATAGCAGGGCCTTTGCACTTGCTGTTCCCTCCACCCTGGGGATTGTTCAGAGAGGTCCTTCCAGCCCACCCTGGGTAAAGCAGGCCTTGGTTATCTGGGGCCTCACTAAAATGAGAAGTTCCGGTGTGATTATTTTAATCTCCTCTGCTAGGCTGTGAGCTCTTCCAGACAGGGCTCAGTGCCACGTGCGCATTCAACAAGCAATTACTGAAAGCACGTACATACACAAAGACCACGCCGCCAGAAGGTGTCTCTTCCTCACCCCTCTGCAGGCAGGAAAGACTGGGATGGGTTTGTATGTAGTACAATGCAAGTTGGTGTGAAGGGGTGCAACTAGGAGGCCTAACCCTAGATAATGGTATAGAAGCACTACTGTGTCATGAACTGGAAGAGGACTGGAATGAAGGGCACATTTGTGACTTAAAAATAAAAAAGAGGGGCACCTGGGTGGCTCAGTTGGTTGAGCATTGGGGTCTTGATTTCAGCTCAGGTCATAATCTCACGGTTTGTGGGTTCAAGCCCCTCATCGGGCTCTGCCCCCCCCCAAATAAATAAATAAACTTTAAAAGACAGAAAAAGAGAGAAAGAGAGAGATGCTGACTAGGAGTCCAGGGAGGACCAAGGGCTGGGACCCTTCTGCAGCCTGGTCTGGGTACAGGTCACACAGGTGCACATGCATAAACAGACTTCATGCCACACACCTGAGGGATACACTGGTCTGGGTGTTAAGTTATACTTTGAGAAAAGAGATGAAGACATTCACATCACATTGTATTTGTTCAATCTATTCTACGATGAGTCAAGTGCCAATGTGATGCCAATCTAGCCTGTAACCTGTTTTTTCAATGACCCTCGGGCTAAGAACACTTTTAGGTTTGTAAACAGTTGTTTAAAAAAAAAAAAGCAGCGGCAGTGGATAGAGAGCATCTGGCTAGCAAAGCATAATTTTTTAAAAATTGTTAATGTTTATTTATTTTTTTAAAGGATCAATTTACTAGCAAGTTAACTGAATCACATCTTTTTTATTTTTTAAATTTTTTAGGGGCTCCTGGGTGGCTCAGTTGGTTAAGCGTCTGACTTCAGCTCAGGTCATGATCTCACAAATTGTGGGTTCGAGCCCCACGTTGGGCTCTGTTCTGACGGCTGGGAGCCTGGAGCCTGCTTCAGATTCTGTGTCTCCCTCTCTCTCTCTCCTCCTCCCCCGCTCGTGCTCTCTCTCTCTCTCTCTCAATAATAAATAAACATTAAAAAAATTTTTTTTTAATTTTTAACATTTGTTTATTTATTTATTTGAGAGAGAGAGAGAGAGAGAGAGAGAGAGAGAGACAGAATGTGAGCAGGAGAGGAGCAGAGAGAGGAGGAGACACAGAATCCGAAGCAGGCTCCAGCCTCTGAGCTGTCAGCACAGCGACCAACGCTGGGCTCGAACTCAGGAACCGTGAGATCGTGACCTGAGCCAAAGCCAGATGCTTAACCCACTGAGCCACCCAGGCACCCCAATGTTTATTTATTTTTGAGAGACAGAGCATGAGCAGGGGAAGGGCTGAGGGTCTGAGAGAAAGGGAGACACACAATCCAAAGCAGGCTCCAGGCTCTGAGCTCTCAGCACAGAGCCGGATAGGAAGCTCAAACTCGCAAATTTCAAGATCGTGACCTGAGTCGAAGTCGGACACTTACCGACTGCGCCACCCAGGCACCCACAAAGCATAAAATATTTATTGGGCCTTTATAGAAAAAGTTTGCCAACCTCTATTCCGGGACATTTGAGCCAAGAGCTTGGGAAGAGCTTGAGTTTTCACCTGATACTAACTTTCCCACTGGCTGAATTACCTTTTTTTTTTTTTTTAAACCATGCCCATATATATATTTTTTAATTGAGGCATATTTGCGTAACATTAAATGTAAAGTTCCTCGAGTTATGGGAAATGTATTTACCCTTGTTTAAAAGTTTGTATTTCTCTGTTAACCCTGGGTGCAAAGCATGTGACCCTTCTACTTTTTTTTTTTTTTTTTTTTACATTTTTCTGTGTTGAACCCAATAACACAATTTTAAAATGTTACTAAAACATCTAAAAAATTTAGGAATACGTATTCCTGGGACATCCACAGGTAGGGACTACCAGAGAGGAACATCTTCTAAATTCCCTCAATGTTCCCGTTTCCGCACCAGTTTTACTCTGGATGGCCCTGAGTGCAAGTAGCAGCCTCTTACTACAGAAGCGATAGGGGATCCTCGGGTTCCACCTCCCTTCGCGGCGCCCTGAAGTCCCAACCCTGACACCGCGGCGCAGTGCGACACTGACCCGACAGTCCCCGACGTGGAAGGTTCCGTTTGTAGTCGATGGGGCCATAGCCCCCCGGCGGGGGCATGTCCTGCTTCACCTTCGACGCTGCCATGTTCGCAGGACCCGTGCTTCCGACCGCGGGCGGAAGTTACGTCCGGCGGCCGCCGCCATGATGAGTGTGGCGGAACGTACCGCGCATGTCTTAGGCAGGACTAGGGCACGTAGTACGCTAGGGTAGCGGTCCTACAGCGAAGTAGAGCTCCGGGACTGGGTTCAGGGATCGTCTGGGCAACCAGGCTGCAGCCGAGGACTCTATTTCTTCTCTCAGACGGAGCTTAGCCCAGTCGGTGTAGACGTCTGGAGCTCGTCCGGTCGCCTGGGCCCTTGCCCTAAAGGACCTCCCTCCCCTACACCTTCCCTCTGGTGCGATGCTCGGACCATTCAGAGCCAGGTCACCGAATTAAGCCCCCTCTCGTTTTCTCCCCGTCGCGGGGCACTGCGGGCAGCCCAGAGCTTCACATGGCTAGGGCTGGGTACACGAAGTTGGGGGACGACTGTTGTTCGTATTTGACTCATGAGGAGCCTCCCCAGTGCCAGGCACAGATTCTGCTTCCCGGTCGTGGTCGAGACCCCTTGCCAATAGCCTCTAATGGGAACTGGGGCATTCAGAGCAATTATGAGTCACAAAGCCTGATGGCCTTGGGGGACCCTGCAGGGCGGGGTCCAAGGGGCCCTTACCCCGAGGCGGGGTGACGCCCACAGTCACTTCACAAGGCAGAAACTGTTACCTGGGCAATAAAAGGCTCCGCAGGGGCAGGTACCCGGGAGTGGGCACATGGGGGTGCGGGTGTGCAGGTGCCAAGCGCCATGGGTTAGGCCCGAGATTGGAGTCCGGCCGCCCTCCGAAAGCAGCCCCCTCTTGCTCCCCGCGCGCCCCAGGCGCCACCATGTCGGGCGACAAACTTCTGAGCGAACTCGGCTATAAGCTGGGACGCACGATAGGCGAGGGCAGTTACTCCAAGGTGAAGGTGGCCACGTCCAAGAAGTACAAGGGCACGGTGGCCATCAAGGTGGTGGACCGGCGGCGCGCGCCACCTGACTTTGTCAACAAGTTCCTGCCCCGCGAACTGTCCATCCTGCGGGGCGTGCGGCACCCGCACATCGTGCACGTCTTCGAGTTCATCGAGGTGTGCAATGGGAAGCTGTACATAGTGATGGAGGCGGCTGCCACCGACCTGCTGCAGGCAGTGCAGCGCAACGGGCGCATCCCCGGGGGTCAGGCGCGCGACCTCTTCGCGCAGATCGCCGGAGCTGTGCGCTACCTGCATGACCACCACCTGGTGCACCGTGACCTCAAGTGCGAAAACGTGTTGCTGAGCCCCGACGAGCGCCGAGTGAAGCTCACTGACTTTGGCTTTGGTCGCCAGGCACATGGCTATCCTGACCTGAGCACCACCTACTGCGGCTCGGCTGCCTACGCGTCGCCTGAGGTACTCTTGGGCATCCCATACGACCCCAAGAAGTACGACGTGTGGAGCCTGGGCGTCGTGCTCTACGTCATGGTCACCGGGTGCATGCCCTTCGACGACTCGGACATCGCTGGCTTGCCCAGGCGCCAGAAGCGCGGCGTACTCTACCCCGACGGCCTCGAGGTGTCCGAGCGCTGCAAGGCCCTGATCGCTGAATTGCTGCAGTTCAGCCCGTCCTCCAGGCCCTCAGCGGGCCAGGTAGCGCGCAACGGCTGGCTGCGTGCTGGGGACTCTGGCTAGAAGCCTGGGTTCCCGCCATTTACGCCGCCCTGAGCACTGCGCAAGCGCAGCGCACGCGTGCGAGGCGTGCTTCCGTACTCCCGCGAAGCCGACACGCGCCACTGCGCACGCGCACACGCCCTTTCCCCCTGTTCCCCCCTACCCCCCGCCGCTTTTCCTTTCTCTGGATGGTTGGGGCTGCAGTCGCCCCTGTTTAGAATCTAGCTCCTCTCCCTATGATCCCAAGAGCAAGAGGGCGCAAGCGCTTCCTCTCTTTCCTAAGAGAAGTCCCCGGGAGGGGAAGGGACGAGAGGAATCGGAAGCATTGCGCTAGCGCGGAATGAGCGATGGCTGCAGGCAGGCCGTGGCTACTTGGAGGAGCTGCCAGCGAGTGGACGCGTGTGAAGGGCGCCCTCCTCGAGACAGCCGGGAATGCGTGTGAGGGACGGCAAGCTCCCGGCGCTGCCTCCTTGGAACTTGCAATAAAGTCGCTCTTTCTCGCACCTGCCTCTGGCAGTGGCCCCCTTTTACCGAGTGTGTGCGGGGGGGCCCCCCCCCCGCGTTTCATCCCGCAGGGGAAGGCAGACGTGGAGCCCCATTGTAGAAAAGGCTTGTTGAGGTTCTTGTCCTAGGTCTCAAAAGGGAATTGGGAAGATTCAAACCAGACTTTTGGGCTCTCCAACCTCAGCCGACTCGAAAGGGCTTTGGGGCCATCCCAGGTGTCGTGATGGCAATGGAATTGCTGGACTGGGGAGCAAGGATCCTAGCACCCTGCCCGTGTTTAAGGATGGAACCGCGTGGGGGTGGGGGCCTCCTGCTTTAACATAAATTGAGCGTTTACAGATGAGGAAATTGAGGCCCATACAGATGTCATTTGCCCAGGAACACAGCTGGAATTTGAAACCAGAAAAGGCTGGAGTGGAGTTGGGGAGGTGGTGGAAACTCTCCTTAGTAAAAGTCCTTCCTTGGTAAAGAAGTTGTCTGGGGCAGGGGGAGGGGAGAGTCAAGGGTAAAGCATGAGACTGCTGGGCAAGCTGGTTACTTCAGTCCTTTCTTTATTCATACATTTATTGAATGCCTACTGTGTGCCAAGCTCTGGGACTCAGCAAAGAGGCTTGGATCCATCCCTGCCCTCAGCTAGGAGGCAAGTAAAAAGTCAAGTAAAAAATGAATGGCGTGTAAAGAATTGTAACTTGTGCTAAAAGCTGGGTGAGGGGAAGGACGAGTTACCAAGGAAGGACTGAAGCAGACATTTGAGCTGAACCCTGAAGGAATCAGTCACTGGAAATAGAAGGAAAGTGTTCCAAGTGTTCCCAAGATATGTTGGAGCTGGTGTGTTTGGGTAATGCCAGGAAGGTCTATGGCTGGAATAGAGAGGGAGGAAGAAGAGGTGGAGAGGTGTGTATCTGGACAGGGGACTCCACAGGGCCTGGGGGAGATTGGGGACTTTTGTTGCAATGAGATTACCGAGTTTAGTGACAGCAGCTGTCTCTCATTTGCGGTGTGTGGAGATGTCTCCCTAAGCCCTAATCCTGCTCGCCTCCATCGGAGCTCCACGCATTTCCCAAGGAGGCCGATCATCTTGTGGGTCTGCCCATGCCCTGCTCCTGCTCACTCACCCTTCGTGGCTCTCAGGTGCCCTGGGCGTTAACTACCAGCTCTTCCCTAACCCCCTTAAAGAGACAGCTGAAGCAATTGAGGCTAAGAGAGGGGAAAGTGCCTTGCCTCTAGTCTTGGCTGGTTCACATCTGAGCTGAGAGAAAACCCACCCCCTCTGGTTTGCGCTAGAAAAGCGTCTCTTCTGGTCTGGACCATACCTTGGAAAATGGAAGTGGGAACAACCTCCAGGTTGTTGGGAAGGGCTGTGGGTTATTGAAGGATGGCATCCTGAGCCTTCTTAAGGGTCCCACCACTCTCAGAATGAAACCCACTTCTTCATCCTTTTGCCCCGTGGTCCAGCCACACTGCCTTCCTTGTCCTTGACTCTCCAGGTTTGGTCTCACCTCTGAGCCTTTGCATTGGCTGTTGCCATTCCCTACCACTTTTCCCTCTGTCTTCATTCCAGACTTGGCCTAACAAGTCACTTCTTCCCTGACACTCCATTCGTTCCCTCCTTGCCCTTGTCACAAGGTGGGGTTCTAGTGCCTGGGGTATGGCATGTGCCTTAATCTGTGTGAGCAATGGGGCCTGGGGCTCCTCCTACCCCATAGCCACAGACCTGTGTGGCTCAGTTCAGAGGGGACAAGGCCTCAGGGACCAGGGCAATTGTTCCATTTGTTGGCTGGAGAAGCTGCTTGAGACTCACCTCTGAACAATTGAGGAGCCTGTGCTTGCCTCAGTGAAAACTCACTTGAGGGCTGAATTTTGAGCCCCCGAGAAAATGCCCCATAAATGTGCTTCTTGCAGCCAGTGTTGGGGCATGGGGCACCAGTCAGGATGTCACAGGTGGACTGGGACAGAGGTTTGGGCTTAATTTCTCTAATGTCAGTGTTAGCAGTTCTGTGTCTTACCCATATGAAGCCTAGCCAGTTGTGGTGGTTGGAGAGGACAATCAACACCCCCAGGCCAGAGGCAGGAAGGTCTTAACAACAACAACAACAACAACAACAACAACAACAACAACAACAAAAGACAAACTGCAAAAAATAAAAGCAGCTAGGAAAACAGGCTTATATTTTATGTACATTAGAATTTACCAGTGATCACAAGTCTCACTTTATGCGTAACTTTTGAAACTGTGTCAATATCTGATAACAAATATTGATGAACACCTGAAATTGTTCATTTCAGAGCTGGCAGGGCAGCTCTGTCTGTGCTAGAACTCACATCTTTAATAATGTCCTGCAGCAAAGACACCCAATGTAGATGCCAAGCTTGAAAATTTCAGAAAAACCTACCACTCCAGGGTGGAGGCTGGAAGGGGCTAAGAACCAGTGGATGGGCAAAACTCACTGGACCCTCACCCTGCTCCCTCAGGTCTGTGGCCACAGAGTAGTAGCCACAGGTTCTGGTGAAGATGGGAGGCCCAGAGGCAAAGCCACAGTGCCCAGTTTGGGGAGATACTCCACCCACTTTTGGAAATGAAGTCTGAAAGAAGCCCAAGAATCAGGTGTCTCATTGTTTCCCCATTAACAAGGGATCACCCTACTACACCTTCCCCAGTCTCCAAGCTGCCCCAAAGCTGGGACAAAAATAATGCAGGGAAACCAGGACTGGGGGGACAAAAGAAAAATACAGCCAACTCATTGTCCATTTCTTTATTTTCCTTCAGATCTAAGACTTCCTCATGACACAATGTATAGCCATTGATTCCAGCCTCTGTTCATTGGAACTTCTATTCCGGTTTGGTGGTCAACTTTTTACATTTATTATCAAAGATTTAGAGTCACAATAAATACAAGTGACAACCTCTCCACCCACCCCCCAAAACCCCACTTTCCAAATACCCTGCACTAGTGTAACTGTCTATTACACTTTCATTGTTAAGTATTATAAAACTTCAGCTGTCCTTTAAAAAAAAAAGCTCAGTCCGAGTTTTTTAGGCAACCATCATGTGCAGCATAGCTCAGCATCAAATAAAAACCCTATGGTGGAGCAGCAACAACTGTCTTTTTCATGATCTACACCCCTGTGATGAGAATGTTTAAATTATATAGAAAATCCCTCCCCATGACTGTCCACAGGAAAATGACATGTAGGACACAGGAGCCGCAACACAGCAGGGCTGTACTCAGTTGCCTTTCATTCCCTCTGCGCTGGGGCCAAGCCTTGCTTCATGAAGGTCTCAGGGTACAGACAGGACCAGAGGCTACCCCTGGAAGGAGGGCAACTGTCGGCCTTGTCAAAGGTGTGGGTCCCAACATCACGGTTGGGATACTAGGAACCAGGGCCCCGTGACATGGGCAGGATGGCCAGAGCAATGGGTGGCTCCAAGTGGACACACAGGTATCTATGTGCACATGCATGTATACACATATGGCCATTTCAAATATGCAAACCTTCACCCTTCCAGAGGTGGCCAGCATCTTGAACAGTTTCCCAGTTGCCATTGGGAGTTCATGTCACAGATAACTCTGGACCTTTATCGTTTGGGACTGAGGGCTCCCAAATTCTCACTGCTCCTAAGAACCAGGTCCTCTTGGTCTGAGGCCCCAGGGGCCAGGGAGAGACCAGAACTCCAGCACTGTGGCCAATTTTGAGGGATGAGCTTTGCTGCTGGGAAAACACCCTTAACATTAATATCCTTTCTGAGTATGTCCAAACCCCACATGCAGAGAGATTTAATATGCCTTTCCTGTAACATCGTCTCATCAAAGAACTTATTTGGGTCTTATCAGAGAAGTTATACCACAAAGGGAGAAACTAAAAAAAAAGGGGGGGGGGGGAGTAGGAATTTTGATACAGTAGAAATGAACAAAAGATTAAGGCATCTCACGTTCTTGTCCCCTTTAAAAAAAAAGTTACATGTCACAGTAAGTGGCCCCTGATGGGATTATTCCCAGGGACCCTGGGCTGGAGGAGGCAGAGCCAGGGCTGGTAGCCCTATCCTCCACCAGTGGTGGTCGGATTTGTACTGAATTCATGAGGCTCCCTTAATAGCTCAGAGGCTGGTAGAAGTCCAGCCAGGCAAGGTGAGCAGAGGTGGTTCCTGAGCACAGTGATGAGCGAGGTTCTAATGGGCTGGGGTTGAGGCCCAACCTGTGCAGCACAGCTCAACTCAGGCCCTTGAGTCACAGACCCATTCAACTCCAGCTGGGGTGTGACAATCCTGGCACACCCCTCCAGTGCAGAGGTGACTCTCGCCTGGATGCCTGATCCCAAGTTACTGCATAGAACTGAGGTCTGTTTGCCCACGTAAGAGGCCAGACCAGGTGCTCCTTCTTGAAGGATTTGGAAAACCTGGCCCATGTCATTGAACAGAGAGGGCTAACAGCTCAGGGTAGTATAAGACAAGTATTTATTTGCCAGGCACACAGAAAAATGTGAGGAATAGAAATGCTTGCATACTCTTAATTTTTTGGTGTAAAAACACCTCCCCCCCCCAATGTCAATATCCCTCCTATCCCCCAAATCCCTGGATCTTGGAATGAAAGCCACTCTTCCCCACCCTCCCCTCCTTCAGCCCATGTAAGTTATGCACTCAAAACAAAAATCAATGAGCAATACAGGGTTTTACACAACAAAAAATTAGAATGTTGCAAAACTAAGTCTTCTACCACAGGTCAAAATGTTGCTAAACATGGATATTCACACAACATGAGAGAGGGGGTTAAATGAGCCTTTATTAGAATGTTGTAGCAGTGTGTTTTGAAGGCGGCGGCCCTACAAAATAAGGATTTTAAATTAAGTCCCTAACTGCATGGATAGGAAAACTAGGGCTGGGGCTGAAGTGGGGAGCAGTGTACCCCATCTCCACATCAACACACGTGTGTGCATGCACACAGGACACCCTTGCACCTGCACAGAGACAGCCCCGTGCACAGCACACTTACGACGGCTTCTGTCTATCCTCATGGATGGAACTGATTTTTAAAGAGTGGGAGAAACCAAAATGAAACTAAGAGCAGACCTGATCCTTTGAAAGACATTTCTGTAGACTCGAAAGAGGGATTAAAAAAAAAAAAAAAAAAAAAAAAGGTCTGAAGGCGACCCCTGGCAGCATGGCCCCGCTTTAAGGAAAGGTTCTAAACTAGACCCAAACAGAAACCCTGACATCTTGGAGGGGCAGGGGCACCTCCCCACCAAACACATCTGACAGGAGCATAGGCCAGGGTACCTTAGGATGTTGTCCATCAAAATAAGTAGGAAAAGAAAAATTTAATAAAATAAAACCACCACAACAACAAAAAACACAATAGCCTGCCCCTCTAATTTCCCACTCAGGCTCCAGATGTTGCTGCCAATTCTCTCCTCCCTCCACTGGCGGTACGTGGCTTCCGGGATTCCAGGCTCTCTGTCTGGGTCAGGGTTGCAGTTTGTTCTTCTGCTAAGTGTGGGAGGTCCGGGGTCTCCGGGATGAGCAGCAGCAGAGGCCTTCTGTTAGACTGAGAGCTGGGCAGTCAGTGGCCCACCCTCTGGGGTGTGGGGGCCGTGCTCGGCAGGGACCCCTGGGTCTGCACGGTTTACTTTAAACTCCATCATCATGAGGTGATTAAAAAAAAAAAAAAAATGTCAACCTAGAGATTGCCATGAAGGAAGGCAGTCAAAGATTTGGAGGGCTAAGATGGGGAGAAGCAAAAACAAAACAGAACGCTCCGCTCGACTTCAGAAGCCCCGGGCGCCGGTCTCGCCGAGCGTGTCACAGTGTCCAGGGTGAGCCGTCCATGCACCCTGCCGGGCTTGGGGGGGTTGGGAGGAGAGGGGGGCTGAAAGGAAGGGCCGGAAGCAGAACCAGCCCCCGAGGTCCACTTTTCTGCTGGTGTTGGGCAAACTAAAGGCAAAGAAAGGAAAAAAGCCCAAGGGAAAGGTCCCCCAGTGATATTCCTCGTCCACCTGTGAAGCAGCCCCTCAGCTGCGACGAGATTTTGCAGCCAAGAATGGAGCCCTTGCTTCTGCAGCATGGCCGGCGCTCGCTCACTCATTCTCTCGGGGAGCATGATGTCTTCCCGAGTGGAGGGTGGCAGGGCCAGGTGGGAGGGAGGAGGGAGCCTGTTCTCCACCGGGCCCGGCTCGCACTATTTCCACGTGGCTGACTGGGGGATGGAGCGTGGCGGGATCATGTCCAGGAGGTACTCCCGCTGGCGGTCCACAGCTGAGGAGGTCTTGTGCACTGCCAAGCTCGGGCTGACAAACGCAAGGGCCCCACCTGCAAAAGAACAGAGTGACAGTTTTAATGGTGTGGTAATAATCTCATGACATTAAAGGGAACACGGAATGGTGAAAAGAGCAGGATACCTCTGTAGGGCACTCAGTTACACACAAGTGACACACCAGTGGAGACGCAGAATAGGGGAAAAGCCCCGAAATACAGCATTTGTTCTCTTGGGGTAGAAACACCGTTATATTTGTTTTGTATTCTCGAAATTTCCACAATGAACAAGCATCTCTTTTACAACTGAAAAATGAAGAAATGACCCCCAATCTCCCAACACAAATAGGTTTTTGGCTGGCCTGGGGGTAAAGACTGCCCCATTCCATTCCCCCTATCACTGTGTTACCCCAAGAGTGCTTTTGGTGGAGGTTAATGTACTTTGTGGAACAAGTGTTTTGAGGTCAAATGCAATTGGGAAACCTCTATACATTCTAAAGAGAAACATGACTGAGTCCTGCCAAGAAACCAAGGGTTAACTAGGAATGCTGGGAGAACTCTTTTGGGAAAAGCTGTTTTTAAAAGTATTACACACTTACCTCTAGTCCTACTGCTGAACACAGCAACTATTTATTCCTTCATATTCCCTTTCAAATATTACCTTAAATATGCAGTTTTACATGGCTCCTACCACTGTGTACACATGCACACACCTGCATTGGACTTTTCCCACTGATTTCATATACTTTCAAAATTTTCCACAAAAGGAATTTCCAAACTGCTCTGAGTTCTTAGCTGCATCTTAAACATGACACACAAAAGTATCTCTGCCTGCTTTATGTTTACAAATGCTCTCTCTCTGCTCTACAGAATAGGTTCTTTGGCAATCAGACCAATGTCCTCCCTTTCCTGAGCTACATCCTGTGGAAGTCTGATATTTGGCCGTATTTCTAACTCTATGGTCAGCTGCATGCACAGCAGACTCCGGTGTTTTGTTTGCAGACAGCCTGGCTTTCCCAGTTCTGCCTAGGGAGACAGATCTCATGATGGTGCCTCCTCTTTTGACAGGGACGCAGCGAGCTCAGGTGGGGGGCAGGGCACTCACTCCCACAGTGAAAGCACTCACCTGTCTCTCTCAGACCTCTGTGTCTTTTTCACTTTCCTGTTTTTAATGGAAATATTTAACTGCCACCTTAATGACAGCACATAAATAAAAAATGGGGCAAGTGGTGTGGGGGATGACCCAAGGATGATGGGGGCTGTGGCAGACTAGGGAATGCTCACCTAAGTGTATCCCTCCTCCCTTGAGTTGTTTCTCAAATGTGGTCTCCTCAAGAGTCCTCTGATGCCCACCATGGTCTTGCCCCTGCTCCAGGGATTTCCCTCCTCCTCCCCCAATGTTTTTGGGGTTTTTTTTTTGAGTTTTTTCTTTCTTTTTTTTTTTTTTTTTGGAGTTTTTTATTTATTTTAGAGAGCGACAGACAGACAGAACATGAGCAGGGGAGGGGCAGAGAGAGGGGGAGGCACAGAATCCAAAGCAGGCCTCCAGGCTCCAAGCTGTCAGCACAGAACCTGGTGCAGGGTTCGAACCCATGAACCGTGAGATCATGACCTATGCCGAAGTCAACACTTAACTGACTGAGCCCACCAAGGCGCCCTACCACATTCTCATTCTAGCTTGCAACTTTGCACCACCTGACCTGTCCAAGCCAGAGGGTGGGAAGAGTGAACCACAGAGCAGGGAATGAAGAATGCTGCCTGGCTCAACAATAAATTAATTACTGCACCAGAGAAGGTAAAACATAACAGCAAAAGCAGGCATTCCCTATGGCAGGAAGGTGGGGGAGTGGGGAGGAGGCACGGCACCCAGAGTTGGCAAGATTGAGTGTTTGTGCTGACAGATGCCCACTGGCTGGATGGTGTGTGTGTGTGTGTGTGTGTGTGTGTGAGACACACTACCTAAACTGGGTCTGCTCCACGTTTTGGGTCAAGAGCTAGAGTCTGGGTATAGAGTGAGCAAACAAGGGCAATTAGTTATCTACCCAGGGCTACCAGCTGTTCAGGGCATCTTATTTAGTGAACAGAGATTAAGCTGAAGAGTCAGAAGCAGGTGTTCTCAGGGGACAGGTCTGGGGTCTCAGGGCTCTTTCTATCATTTCTGTTCACCTGTATGTGTGCATATTTTTCTTTTCTTTTCTTTTTGAGGTTTATTTCCTTTGAGAGAGGCGAGCACAAGCTGGGGAAGGGGAGAGACAGAGGGAGAGAGAGGATCCTGAGCAGTCTCGGAACTGCCAGCATGGAGCCTAAAGCAAGGCTTGAAAGCACGAACTGTGAGATCATGACTTGAGCCAAGATCAAGAATTGGATGCTTAACCAACTGAGCCACCCAGGTGCCCCTGTGGACCTCATCATGACAAGGTCCCCATTCTAAGCCCTGTGGGGGCCACCCACCTGTACTCAGGGGTGCCTTCTTCCAGTTGGTGGTGGCATTGCCCTTGCCGGTGCTCACAGCTCTCTCGGAATGTCTGCCGGTCCTGCTGACAAGGGCTGTGGCCGAGGCTGCATTCTGCAGTTTGGGTGACTGGCTGAATGTGTGCAGGACACCTCGGGGCGTTGTGGCTGAGCCCCGGGACAGCTGGCTGGAGGCCTACAGCAGAGAGAAGGTATGATGGCTCATGTGGGGAAGGGGATGACAGAGGGCAAGACGCTCAGCGCAGCCTCTCCGTGCTCTGGCCGACCTCTTCCCACCCACACAGGGTCCCTAAAGTCCAAAATCAGGAGACCAGGTAAGTTACACCGGGGGAGAGGGGAAGGAGGCAGGGAGAGACAGACAGACGCAGGCAGCGTGACAGTCGGCGACTGACGTGGTCACAGTCTGGGGCGTGAGGGCTGGTTGGTGGCGCGGTGCAGGGGCTCCCAGCACCGCAGTTCTGACCTGTAGCACAGCCCCGTTACTCCAGTCGCGGGCCTCTCCTGAGCGGAACGCCAACTTACGCCGGGGTTTTATGACCTACACAAACGGGGGGGAGGGGGGGGTTGAAACCGAGGTCAGCACCATCCACAGGCCGGCCTAGGGTGACCTAGAGTGACCAAAGGGCAGCAGCTGTGGCCGCATGAGGCCCAGTCCCCATGGGACAGGCTGTTTCCCGAGGGCAGCACAGCCACCCACTACATAGGGATCTTGAGAAGATGTATTTATTAGTGAATTACAAATGACTTCCAAGGACACAAAAAGTTGCCAACGGGGTGCTTTGGGTCTATAAGGGGTGGGAAAGCAAAGCATTAAAAAAAAAAGCAGCCAAAAAACTTGATTTCAAACTTGCTTCTCTCCTTAATTTAGCTAGAACATTTCTTCCAAATGCCCCTTTTGCATCTCAATGTGGCTTTCAGAAAAGTCGTTTTAGACAAGAAGTACTTGTCAGCTGGAACACTGCAAGTGAAAGCTACAAAATCTAAAGAAACTTCAAATTAGTATTTTCACCACCAAAGGCCACCATTAAATGCAATTTAGACACACAGTTAACAACCAGGCAGATGACTGCCCAGTGTGAGACAGAATGTCGGAACATCTTGCTTGCTAGCAACAACTCCCAGCCAAGGGAACAAGGCCCCTCTCCTAGAGGCAAGGCCGCCTAGCCCATGATCCCAGGCCTCAGGGCCGCAGCTCTGGCTCCCTAAGGACTCTCACCTGCTTTAGTGCGGGGTGTGGGGCAGTGGCAGGCTCAGCCTTGGCCTGTGCGGGGGCGGCACCCTGCTGTAGGAGGCGCTGCTCGATCTCCTGCTCCTGCTGCAGCGCCTTCACAAAGGCAGCCTTCAGCCGGCTCGTGTGCTCTACCTTGAGTGCCTTCTTCTGGTTGGATGCCATGCAGTTCTCACACATAATGGCACCACCTTTCTCCTCCCGCCAGCGGCACGTGAAGTCCGTCTTGCACTGCGCACACATGTAGGGCTCCCGGGACAGAACAACAGCGGCTGACATCCTGCCTGCTGCAGGGAGAGACAGGTGGGTTCACGTCAGAGGAACAGGATGCCAGAGTCAGAGCCCCTACCATCCCAGGGCAGAATGAGGACACATGACAGATCTAGAGCAGTGCCCTGGGCTGCATGGCCCAGCTGGCATCAGGAACCAAAATCCCAAGTCGACAATGTCTGTTTGGCACACACATACCGGGTGCTGTGTGTGGACACTAGGCCAGCCCTGGGGAAGGTTTGCCAATAGAAGGGAATTTGAGAAGCTTTGGAAAATGCCATGGACCAGGTACACTGGGTACCAATTCTCAAGAACATCAATGCTCTCAGATTGGCTCCTCCCAGTTGCCTTTCCCACCCTCAGTGCAACATTAAATTTCAGGGATGGAGGTTTTTCCAACCCTCCCACACCTCATCAGTGAAAAGGAAATGGTAACCCCCTCCAGGTCCCACCTCGCTGTGATGGGCAAGTCAAATAAGGACCAATCATCCAGCAAGTACTCATGCTGACAAGTATCCTACCCAGTGTCTTGTGCATATACAAAGGTGTTCAATTCTCACAATAACCTCCTAACAGGGCACCCTAGTCCACTAAAGGTTTTTCTGAGGAGAAAACCGAGGCTGAGGAGATGAAGTGACTTGCAGAGTCACACACCAGTCAGCAGCAGGGCCAGGACTCATACCTGCTGCCCAGCTGAGAGCACACAACTGCTCTGGGTCCTTGGCCCCCTTTTCTGAGATGGGAACGTGGCATCCCCTCGGTTGGCCATAGGAAGGGTGACTGGGGAAAGCCAGGTAAAGTGCATGCTCAGGCATGGAATCAAAATTATTTTTGCCATCCAAAGTGAAGGGGTACTTTTGGCATTTTACAACTATCTTTTTGTGTCTAGTACTCAAGGGCTTAACTTCCTTTTAACATCAGAGACCATGCTGCTGAGAGACCCTTGGCCTGCCCAAACTGCCCCAAATGCTGAGGGGCTGTGCAGGATCAGACTGGGGAAGCCCCTCACCCCACAGAGCAGATGAGATGTCACCAGATCCAGCCACCCAGGGTCTACTTCAGGCCCCCAGCCCCAGGCCCTCACCTGCAGCTAACATGCTCTGGTGAAAAGAGCACATCCCCTTCCAAACATCCAAGCCTGAAGGACAAGGTACCTTCTCCTAGGCAGCTGTGGTGGGCATGAATGGCACCAGAGTAGAGACGCCGGTATGAGGCTGCACACAGCCAACCAGACGGAGGCTCTGTGAGGTATCAGGAGACACCTCAAATAGGGCTCAGAGCTTCCTCCCACACTTAGGACCAGTTTGGGGCAATACGAGAGGGATACTGAATCCTGATGAGAGAACAGGTAGAGAAAAGGCTGATCTGGGAGAGGAGGTCCCCAGGGCAGATGGCTGCAGATGGACGGGCATTGTGTCCTGACTTGGGTCTCCCACCCACCCATCCTGCACTGGCCTCGCAGCAGCTCTTTTGCCAATAACACTCCATCATAAAGACATCAAAGGGATCCAAACACATCCAAGCCATATGACAGCTCATACCTTTCCCTGCTGAGCCTGGCTCTGGGGCCCCTTGACAAGTAGAGTCTACCACCCCCATTTTACAGAAGCCAATGTTGGTTGGGCCTTTGTGGTCTCCTACTCTCAACCTGACTCATGGTCAATCCTTGATATGGCCCTGTGGTTGGGGACTGTTTTAAGAGCAATGGGGTTGGGTAGGTGGGTGGGGTGTAGTAAGGAGGCTACAAGTAAATCTGAGGTGGCCGGCTGGGTGTTCTCTGCCCTGGGTCTGGTCCTGCCTACATATGGAGGGCTCTGCCTCTCAAAGGCACTGAATACAACACCTGAGGAGGAAATTCTGTGATATGCTGACTAATGAGGGAGAAGAAAGCACTCCCACCAACACCCTGACAGCAAGCAGGCACTACGGGGGTCACAGCTCCCTGTTATACACACCTGCCTTCCTCCCTCTCTGCAGAAGCAAGCAGGCAGAAGGTGCTTTTCCTCTGTACGGGCCCCAATTACGGTCGCCCCAGAGTCTTTGCCCTGGGAGCAGTCGGCATGTACTAAGGGACAATTCAAGGTATGTGGTCTAAAGCCTACTGAGCCCTCCCTTGCCCTGGACTGGTTATGGCTCCACCTTCTCCTCAGCTCTGAGCATTTGCTGAGATCACATAGGGAGAGGATTCAGGCTGGCTGCCCAAATAAAGTCACCACAAATCAATCTCAGAACAAGAACATCTTCACATCAGCATCTGGTAGAGGCCTCCCAAGGGCCAATATCTGGTTTCCCACCTCCATTTCCAGTGTTACTTTTGATCACTAACTGATATATGCCCTTTTATCCCTAAAACCTAACATGCAAGTGGTGCTTTCCAAACTGTTTCCAAGGAGGATGTTCAAGGGAATCTGGCCCAGACACAGGTGTCCCTCTCCCACCTTGGGGGCTCAGAGCACTCAAGGCTCTGGAAAGTTCTAGCCTGAGAGCCCTATCTGGAAGCAAAGCCTGTTAACTTCCTGCAGACGTTTCTCCTCACCCTCTTCTGCCTGCCCCAACGTCACAGAGCTGTTGGGGAATGATTCTCACCCCCCTCAGACCATGTGGGCAGGGCCTCAGGCTTCCTCAGGGCCCAGCTCTCAGAGGCAGCCTCAACAAGAGAAGAAAGGTGACTGTCATGTGTTTAAGAAGTTATCTAAGGTGACAAATGGTGGCTTCATTTATTGTGGTGAACACTGATTAATGCATAAAACTATTAAATCACTATAATGTACCCTGAAACTAATGTAACATTGTATGTCAAGTATACTTCAAAAATAAGTATTTTTAAAAATGCAAAAACTAAAACAAGCAAAAAAGTAATCTAAGCCTCGCAGCAAGCAGAACTGATATTCTAACACGTGCTGTGCATTCAAAACAACCTACGTAAGAGAAACTTCAGTGGCAAGAGATGAAAATGGCCCCAAAGCCCACTCACCTTGCGTCTCCAGCAGGTTCTGCACCACTTCCTCCAGGCCGACCAAGTAGATGAATTCGTTATTGGCAGCGCTGGGCAGGAAGTTCATCTCTGGGGCAGGGGGCTTGGGAGGGGGGATTTCAAGCAGCGTCTTCTCTAGCTGTTTGCGCAGCGCAAGCTTGGCAGCTGCCTGACGACTGGCTGGAGAATCCGCAGAGGTGACCACAGAGGCCACGCTGGTGGGGGTGGAGTTCGCCTGAGCAGAGGTGACTGTTGTCCCTTTCAGCGATGCTGGGGAAGGCTTTTGGGAGATAACAACCTGGTCAGTGTGCTGGGGGTGCCTGACCCCTCTTTAAGACAATAACTCTGAGCTTCCTGACATCAGCAAGCAACAGGCAAAGCAGCGTTAAACTCATCACTCTGTGAGATTGACCAATCCTGTAAACATACTTGAGGTTTAGCTGATATCCAATAAACTACATGCATTTAAAGTCTGTAATTTGCTGTGTTTTGCCATGAGGACACCCATGAAACCAAAACCACGACTAGGGCAGTGGGCACCCCCACTCAGGCAACACAGTCACTGTCCTGTCACTATGGCCTAGCAGCCCTCCTCCCAGCACAGGGCTAGGTGACCTCCTTCATTACAGCAGTACGGCAGTGGATCACTAGAACACTGGTGGCATTTCCTTCATGAGCATCTTTGTGTGTGCTTATCTGGAGACTAATGTTTTACTCAGCTCATGTATCCTCATTGGGGTTTCAGGGGAGACCGGCTTCTGGACCAATCCCTGCCCCTTCCCCCTCTTGATCTTTGATGCTCCTGCACTACTTTTCTTGCCTTCATCTGGATCCCAGTGGCCAACGCTCCGTTTTCTCCTTGCTCTAGTTCACCCAGCCCCCAACCTTGTCGAGCGCTTTCCTCAAAACTCTGAGTTGACCTCATTAGTGCCCTTCTGGAAATCTAAGGAAAGCAGCATACACCACCCCCAGGAAAATAGACATACCCAACAACTTGCACACAACACATCACAGGACCCAGGGAGCCTACGATGCTATCCCAGGACCACTCTCACAGAGTTGAGCAAGCCTCCCAACAGAGAGGAAGCCAGCCATCATAGCACACTGGCCTGGCCTGACTTCAGAGAAGGCAGAGATGCTGCCCAGAGCTCTGTTGGCCGGGGTCTTATTTGAGGGAGGCAGACAAAGATGCACCACACCATAGGAGGAAGAGAAGCTAACACACCCATCAGCAAAAGCCGCTGTAGACCCAGTAATTTATCTGTCAATAAAGCTCTTGCTTCCAGCCTGCCCACCCACCCTGATCCCATTTTCTTGGCTCTGCTGGGTGGAAACAGACCCACCCCATCTCAGAGGCTCTGTACAAGAGGTGAAGGGACTCACGGCTAAGAATAGATGTGCCGGTGCTGTGAGGACATTTGTAGACATGCTCCCCTCATGTGCTCATGCTGACAGGGAGGAGGGTGGGGAAGGCTATGGTGCCCTGCATCTATCTCCAGGCCTATCAGATTCTTCACCTGGCCTCATCCATCCCCCAAAACATGCTGAGTCCCACACGCAACCTGAATCTTCCCCCCACCATTCAGCTCTGCACCTCTCCCCCTCTCAATAGCTACCCACCTCTGCTAGACCACAGTTCTGAACACAGGACTCCTGCTCGTGACTTTCATACTGTGACAGGTCCCAAGGAGCTCTAGTCTAAACCTCCATGGGGTATACAAGGCCTTGCCTGGTTCTGAGTGGGCAGGCCACACCATACCACTTCAGTGACAAGACTATGCCCCAGGACTGTGGGCCCTTGATGTGTTGGGTCTGTAGGGCATGTGCCCCACCCTGACTCAGCACAGCCCTCACCTGTGGGATGTTGACGAGCAGACTGGTGTTGGGGACATTGGCGACACGGATGAGGCCCTGCTGGATGATCCTCTGTCCCTGAATTTGCACACTGGGCACAGAGGCCCGAGGGGCCAGGAGGAGCGGTGGCGGCCCCGTGCTGGAATGTTGTCTGATGTTGTGGATTTGCTGTGGGGTGGGATAGGGGATAAGATGGTAAGAGGGACGATGGAGGGAGGGAAGATTTGGGCCCCAGAGCCCCCAACCTGATGACTGGGAAGGGTTGTTCTTGTGAGGTGGTTGGTTGTTTGGAGCTGCTTGGACACTCTTGCATCCTAAAAGCACGCCCTGCTCACCTGAGCCCCCCTGACGAGTGGGGGCATGACGACCTGTGAGCTCGCCTGTGGCCCCAGCTTGGAGGACACCTGCTGTCCGCCGCGGACCAGGGGTGGTGGGATGACACTGCCAGGCATTCTTGTCGAAGAGGTCTGTCAACGGCACCGAACCCCAGGTTTTACATGGCTTTTTTTTTTTTTTTTTTTTTTAACAAACAGGTTTGCTGTTTTGTAAAAGTACACACTTGTTTTAAAAGGCAGGGGGGAAGCACTAAAATGTCTATTCTAGGCACAAGAAAACAAGGAACATGGACTCTGACAAGAGCTGTGCAGACTGGGCTCACTCAAAAGTGAATTGCACCAACAAGGTAGCATATTTTCACACACAGCAGGTGTCCAGCCAACCCAGGCTGGGTGTCACTTGCATGCTGGTCTGAGCTGGGGGCTCAGGCCTGTTTGAGGGAAGGTGGGCCCCTGTCTAGACCTGGATCTCATGTCTGAGAGTAGGAGCTCTACCCATCTCATCCTATGGACAGAGGAGGTCCTGCTGCATCCCACAACCACCCTTGGGAGTGTCAAAATGAAAGGAGCCTGCTCTGCCTAAATCTTGGTTCTTCTCCAGTTTTGCTAGGAGTCCTCCTAGCAGTGACTATTCATGATGTCAACAGTGGCCTAAGTTTGGGCCTCACTCAAATCTAATCAGAAGGAATGGGCAGCCTTTCACAGGAACTGGATCAGGACTGCCCAGGATCACAGAGGGAACACTGACCTGAAGGGATGGCTTGCCAGAAGGAATGTTCTGGGTGCCCCGCACAAGCGGGGGAGGGGTGGTCACGGCACTCCCAGCAGAGCCTGTGGGCTGCAAGAGAGCAGGACATGTGAGAGATGAGGGAGTCGTCAGTCCTGCTCCCCTCACACATAATCCAGACAGAGGAAAATTGGTTTTCTTCCTCTTCCAAAAGCATCAGTCTCCCAAAGGTTCTGCTTCCAGTCTGTTTACGTCTGTAGCAGGAACTGACATGTCTGAAATGGGCAGGGGAGAGATGTTCCAGCCCCCCTCACCCCTGGGGACGCTTGGCATCTTTTGTGGTTCAAGAGCAGGTTCTGCCTTCCTGGGGATATAAGGGCTGGCAGTGGTGACTGAGCCAAAGGGCCCCAGGCCTGGATAGACTAATCCCAACCTCGGTGAGAAAACACTGAGTCCAGGCACTTCTTAAAGTAACATATTCCACTAGAGAAGGGACAGTGACAGACTTGGTTCACTTCATCGAGTCTTAAACAGCTGACAAGAAAACAAGTAATAAGCAGGGCTCTGTCCACTGGGAGATTAACAGATGTCAGGCCATGTCCACTAATTGACTATGTGCAAGTGGGAGCTCAACCAAAGCCTTAAGTCAGACCAATGAGTATCCTCCTGTCCTGTTCCCTTAAGAAGACATATGTTCCACATACTGTCAGCTCATAATGCCCAAGACACATTTACTTTCTAGCTTACTGATAAAGTGGTTGAAGTAAATAGAAGGGTAGCTTAAAAAAAACCCAAGAATACAAACTTGACCTTGGCCTACACAGTAAGCTGCATTAAGAAGCAGCATAAGGATGGGGAACCTGGGTGGCTCAGTCAGTTAAACGTCCGACTTCAGCTCAGGTCATGATCTCCCAAGTTTGTGAGTTCAAGCCCCATGTCGGGCTCTGTGCTGACAGCTCAGAAACTGGAGCCTGCTTCCAATTCTGTGTCTCCGTCTCTCTCTGCCCCTCCCTGACTCACGCTGTATCTCTCTCTGCTTCAAAAATTAATAAACATTAAAAAAAATTTTTTTAAGAGGCAGCATAAGGAGCCTCAGACCCCAGGGGAGATAGCAAGAGCAGAAGCCCTAGGACCGAAACTCTGGGGCCTGGGCAGCACTTGGCATGCCCCTGTGGCATTAGGGAATCTGTCCACAAAACCATGGTAGCCACTGATGTCCAGCATGGCCATCCACAGGGCAGAAGGCCTCTCTGTAAATGGGCTTATGACAGTTCTCAATCCAGAAATGTTCTTCTAACAGCTTCAAAGACATCTGTTTTCTTAAAGCTTATAATCTATAAGGAGTAAGTTTTACATATTCAGATTGAGAATATTCTAGACCAAAATGCACTCTAATATCCTTTTACTCTGACATCGTTTTCGCTAAATCCAAAATTCAAACTTGAGACTGCAAATTTCCACTTCAGATCTTGACCCTCACACCCCTGAGGAAACCTGTTCACCCATGACCAGCCACTCCAGCTCCTGGTACTGAGGTGGGCCAAGGTAATGATTGTGAACTTCTGTCCCCTGTTCTAAATGGCTCTTGTTGGCCTTGAGGAGAGAACAGATGCACACACACCTTCTGGGTGGTGGTTTCCTTTTGTATTTGACTCTGCCGCAACTTTTTTAATAAAACAAGTTTTGCTTCTTCTAATCTTAACTCTTCTTTCAGTTGCTTAATCATCCTTTCTCGTTCTTCAGGACTGCTTTTCTGTAAGGGCAAGAGAACAAGGGTTGAGGGGGAGGGCCACAGCCAGGGAGCACAAGCCCCATGTCACCAGGTCCGTTTCAGGGTGTTGTCAGGCAGGGTCATCCCCCAATACAGGGACAAGCTCACCATGAGGGCCTCAGTACTGGTCTCCTTCAAGGCCTCCTTCGTCAGCCCGTTCACCCTTGGGCTTGCGGGCTGCTCATTGTCGGAGAGCACGATCACATCAGGAGAGGGGGCTCTCCTCTCAGACTTCATGTCACTGTGAAGCAGGGATAGCAGGTTGTTACCAGATTGCCTGGACACTGCCAGACACCGTTCCCCAGAGCCCAGAACCTATACACCACAGATGCACAAATTTAGTCACAGCATAGAGGTGGAGAGCATGGCTGTCCTGCTCACCTTCCCAAGTCTCTTCTCCTTGGGTGTCCTCCCTACCGTACACCCAAATTGACTTCTCTCACTGCACTCACCATAAGGCACCCAAGCCCACAGCTAGGCCTCTAGCTAGGACCATTCTTGGTTGCCCACCTCTGTGTACCCAGAGCCAAGGACAAGCTGGTGTGTTCAAGGGTGATACGGCCATTTTGGAAAACACCAAAGCTTCCTTCTCTACCATGTGGTTCAGTGTTGGATAAAAACACTCAGCCCTTGATCCTGGGGCTGAGGCAGGGTCTTGGCCTATTGTTGGGGCTCCTGTGTGTTGGTGTGACAGTGTCTAAGCCTCTACTGTGTCGCAGAGTCCACACACAAGGTCCCAGAGACAGTGCTTGCCCCCCACCAAATGTGAACTTTCCCTTAAAACCTGGCCTCCACTTGTGATGAAAAGGATCTGATCCTTCCTTTCGTCAGTGGGAAAACCAGTGGAGGACCAAACACACCCACTAGGTGGCACTGTGACCCAGAGAACAAACTGATGAAGTTAATTGGGAAGAAGAGCTCTAAGTTGTCCCACTCCTCCTACCAGACCCCCAAGGAGAGACAGAGTTATAGAAGGAGAATTAGTACTTTAATAGCCCAATGAGCTGCCTTTTTCACTCCTGGAATGAGCTGTCTTTAGGGATGGACGGGCTCAGAGGACCAAATCCCGAGGGTTCATGTCTACCTCTGGACCCTTATCCCCATCCCCTAGAGTTCTCCCCGTTCCTCCTAAAGGGTCACATGGTGGTTACACCTCAATACTCCTAACCTTGATCGGATTTAACCAGTGTAGCTGTTGACTGAACTCTCACAAGAGATCAGGGGAGTGGACTAAAAGGTGCTATTTCAAGGTATACAGTCTCCTCATTGGGGTTATCAACCCACACTCTCAAGTCCAGAAACTGGTTGGCTGTTTATAAAGTAACTCAGAACATCACATTGGACCTCACCAAACCAAAGACCAATGCAATTTGGGAACCACCACTCATCTGTGTGTCTGCGGACTCCCCAATCTGCCCAAGATCAACTCTCAAGGTGACCTCGGGACTCCAATTCCATTTTCTCTGGATGCATCCACAGATATTGAGGGGCAGTGCAAGGCCCTAGCATAGGAGCTGTGGCAACTGGTCCCAGCTCAGGTGGGCTCCCAGGTGCCTTTGTGCAGACAGAGCAGCAACCCAGACAGAACCATGTTTAGAGTTGCAGACTGCAGGCACTTCTTCCAGAGCAAGAGTGCACAGAGATCATGGCAATCACTTTTTATCATCTTATTGGGGGCATGCAGTTTTCTAAAGGTGAGAGGTCCAGTAAAACTCAAATTTGCCTAAGGGAAGAGGGCAGGGTGAGGGACCAAGACCATCTGGAGGCTGAAGCTCCCTGAGATGGCCACTCTGACCACAGCACTCCCAGGTCTCATATTGGCCTGAGACTAATCAATAACTCACCCAAGAGATGACGTCACCCCACCCCCATCAATGATCACTCAGCATCCCAGCAGCCAGCAGGGAGTGAACTTCCTGTATGCTAATCATCCACCAAAAAGTCATGTGACAAAGGCATTTCCCTCCTTGGTCATGTGACCCTTTTAGCTGTGCCTTCCAACATGAAAACCATGGCAACAGCCAGTTCTAACCGGTTCGTGACACGCAGCCTTCATTTTGAGAAGTGAGGTAGGGTTCAGGTGCTGTCAGAAAATGGAGGCAACCCAGCTCACCCCGGGGCTGCCCAGCTGCAGGAACTTCATATGTGGCACCAGCCCACAGGGAGCTGTTGGTGTATTACAGGGATCAGGGTTACCTCTTCCAAACACAGAGAGGCCACCAGCCCCTCTAGTTTCCAACATGGAAAACTTTGCTGAACTCAATTTTTAAAGTAAAGGTGTTTCAAAAGTCTCAGTACTTTATCAGAGTGTGCTTTTAATTCAGGAAAAAGAACACCCCTTTGACACAGGCTGAAAATTACTATGGGCATTCTTTAAAAAAAAAAAAAAATTGTTTTAAATTACAAAAACATTTAGGCAGAAGAACAAAAGCAGAGGAAATCTAGCCCAACATTGCCAGGGAAATGGCATTGTGGCCAGGTACGCTGTTCTACTGCTTTTAGTCCATGGTAGCCGCCTGAGCACGAAATTTATTTGGGAGTCATATGATTTCTGGGCAAATCTAATAAGCCCATTCTGCCCATCTTGGGAGTCATGATCAAAAGAGATTTTATGTGACCTATGAAAATCCCTGGAAGCAGACCAGGCTATTATCAGCAAAAACAGTCTCACCACCTTCTCATCTATATGTCAGCCCTGGATAAAGAAACGCAAAAGTTCTGTTACTTACTTGAATCTTCCATCAAGTTTCCTAGAGAGAAGGCAAGGATTATAATCTTATCTCAAGACAGATCCCATGTCCTCAGCACCAGGGTACCATCCCAGTAGTCAGTACAAGGTTAATATTTAGTGTCCCCCTTAGCCTGTGCCAGGGGAAGCAGTCTCATCAAGAGAACACAGAAACTGTGCTTGGCAGCTCTGACCTTTGTTATTCTCTGAACAGGCATGCCTGATGTAGGGTCTGACTGTGGGAAAGGGGACACTTCATTCATTCATCCACTCATATTTACTGAAAACCCACCTAAGAAAGCAGATGCTATGCCAAGCAATGAGGATAAATCCCCGGATAAAAGGTAGTTTTATCCTCAGGATCCACCAGGAGGAACAGAACTCCCAGGAGGAGGAAGGGCAAGCAGGGCCCAAGAAATGGACAACCACTTGCCTAGGCTCACTGAACAGCAGGGACAGCTTCACTGGAGCTCAAAGAAATACAGTATCTTGTTATCCCAAAGACCTGCTCCATCACAGCCTATATTTCACAAGATCCCCAAGATTCTTGCACACACTAGAGAAGCTGGGGAGGACTGTAAACAAAACAAGGCCTCAGGACAACAAACTCCTCCTCAGTGCCCACTTGAAGAGACAGGTATAGTCAGCTACAACCATTCCCTACCAGAACTCTCCCCTACTCTCCTCATCTTTTGGGCCTGGCTAGGTGGGGAAAGGCAGGTAACTATTAGCTGTGTTTAAGAGCTGGGTAGGGGGCTTTGCTAGACCTAGCACCAGCCTCACTCACTCTTGCAAATATTCACTTTGGCTCCACCTGACCCTCCTTCAGTTGTGTTCCTCCACTGGAGCCCATTCACACCTCCCAGGCCAAACCTATCCACTGCCTTTTCCAGCTCCCAGCCCCTATAAACCCAGCTCCTACTCACAGATACATGGTGCTGTGGGTTCTTCCTGCCTTCACGATCAGTCCCTTCATGGAATGTCCCTCCACCAAACTCCTGAGGCCCCCTTGTGAGCCTCAATGCACACTTCAACACACATTTCAAACCATGTACCCTCCGACAGGTCCCTGGCTGGCCCAATCCTCCAACATGCCAGCCCTGGGAGCATGATCAGCACTCCCCTAGTCCACTCATGCATGCCTGGGGAAGCCTTAGCTATGCTTGGTACTATTCATCCTGGGGGCGGAGCCCAGGACAGAATTCTGGGGTTCCACTGAAAGGCAGCACAGGCCTGAGCAGAGGCTTCCTTGCTGGTAGCCAGCTTACTCACCCTCACTCCAGCAAATTAGTCCAAGGAAAGTGACTTCACCTTTCTACTAGGTCAACTCACCATCCTACAGCCTCCCAGGGTGACAGTGTTACTGTCTGACAAGCAGGTTCCCCCACTGCTAGCTGGGACTGGAAGCCATCATAGGCACAGTAGCCATGGCCCCCCAGCCCCACTTGGAGCCTGTCTCCATGAGGCCGAGGCACTTCAGCTCCCAATGAGGACCAAGATATTCCCAGGGTGACCCAACACGCAAAGGGCAAGAGTGAGGGAGGGGTCCAGCCCTGATGTGACACCATGGCCCCCGCAAAGGGGGTGATGCCCCCTACCTCCACAGAGCCAGAGGGGCAGGAACCTCTCTCTCTAGTGCCACACTGGCTGGGAGTTGGGGACAGGCAACAGGGCCTCCTCCAAAGCCTGTGGCTGCACTCATGAAAGCTCACCATAAATAGGCACTATGAACCAAGCCTGCACACTGGGGACTTCCCCCACAAAGCCACCCGAGTTTCACTTGGTTCTACCTCTTGTAAGTGAAGACCCGGGGCAGGACATTTCCCTCCCTGTGCCTCCTAAAAGGACCAGGACAGGAATTCCTGCTCTGCTGAACCTCAGGATTGCTGGTGAGGTGAGATCTCGTTGCCGAGGCTCGGACACCCTATGAACCCATCAGGGAGGTTCAGGCTCCAATCTTTCCTAAACAGTAAGGAGCTGCTTGCCATGAATGCAAGCTTGGCACACAGCAGACAACTAGCCATTGAGGGTTAACACTCAAATATTCTCAAACCCAGAAAGGGCAGCAATGTGTCTGTTCTGTGAACTGCTCTGTCACAGCAGCTGGTGCAGGGCCTGGCACAGTAGGTGCTCAGGCAACGCGGCTGGTGGGCATGCCCACCTTACTCTTCCTTAGCACCTGGTTCCAGGATGAAGTCTGTGAGCTCATGAGGAATCCAGTGATGCCTGTAGACTGACTGATGTGGGCGGCTCTTTCCACATGCACAGATGCCACGTTGCTAAAGGATGTGCAAATTCACTTAAAAGGATTTCTGAATTCTGTGTCATTATGTCTTTTCAAGCAATAGGTCTTGGAAGTCCAACTCCTAACTTGTGAGTCAGGACTTTGGTGACTGTTAAGAAGGAGCCTTACTACTCACAGTCAACAAAACCATGTACAGAAGACCACACCTCTCCATGCTCACACACCCTTCCAGTCCTATCTCTAGGATCTGGGCTGGTTTTGTGGCTCA